ACGTGGTTTCAGTTTGTCGCGCGACAGGTGCAAGACGTGCGCGCAGCCCCGCCGTTCTCACGTTGACGAACTTGGGGTACAGTAGTCCCGCGAGCTGCAGCAGAGCACGGTCAGACAGCGAGGCAGTAATAACAACAATAACTGCGAAGATATCGTGAGAGGTCGCTCCGAGCAGCCACTCGCCGCAGGGGCCAGAGAACTGCGACCGGGATGGCCACTAGGCTTCCCCTTCTCCTACGAAATGTGATTGGCATTGGCCCGACCGCCCTTTCTCAAACGGCAAGCGGCACCGGCGATCTCGCTGAGTTGAGCATCGCGGAGGGGAAATTTTCATGGGAGGGCGGGCGGATTGCAAAGCCGTACTCTTATCGCTCCGATCGCTCAGGTACCGCAAAAGCTTCACGCGACGCATTTTGTAGCATTGCCATGTTGCGACGTGTAGATGGGGTTAGAAACACGGCCGTTCGCACACAAACAGTCCATGGGTTCGTTGCGATAGCAATGACATCAGCCCGGCCTCGCTTGAACATGGCACGTGCATCCAAGGACGTCGCTGAGGGCCCTGTTCGCGTGGCTTGAGCGTTGCTTGCTTGCTTCTGAGACCAGCAACTGCCTGGCAACGGCTGGCAAATTGCGAACCATTCGAGCCGACGTCGTTTGACCTCAGATCGAGTGATGGGGGTGGATATGGCAAGTGCTGGATACGACGCGCCCCCCCACGGCTGCTTGCTCGGTCTTGTTGGTGTCAGGCCATGTCTGTTGAGCTGGATAGCAGAGAGGGCGCGGCGTGCGTCTCCGAGCGAACAGCGGCTGTGTGCGATATAGCTGCGACAGACCGTTTCGACCTGTGGCCGTGCCAGGCAAGGCCGTGTTCGCTTGGTGTCGGGAGATAACGCAGAGAAAGCATCAGCTAATCCCGCCTGGCGCCACGGCGATAGCTCTGGGTGGCATCTTGTAGCCCCAAGTACCTCTGTCGCCTCGCCGCCGCCGGCCATGCAGCAACGGCCTCTCTTCGCCCCTCAGCAGCTCAGCAGCGCTGGCCTCCGCTCCCGTTGGCCTCTCGCCGCAGTAGTCAGAACCGGTTGCTGCCGCTTGGCTGCGTGGTGAAAATCCTTGGTGGTGCCCCGGTCTGTTGGGGTGGAGCTAAAAGGCCTTGACCCACGCGTGCATTGGTGGTGCAGCTCCCTGCCTGCATCCCTGCGGCCGTCCGAGCGCCAGGCCTCGATTTCGCTTGCATCCTGGTTCAACGATTCCCCAATAGTCGCGGCCCTGCACGTCTTCAGCGCTACCGCCCTCAACACTCTTCTCCATCCCTCCTCCTCAGCACTTCCGGGCCCATCGCAGCTACGAGACCCTTTTAATAGGACTGCTGCAGCCAACGAGTGCTTCTTGGTTTGACACACGGCCCTACCGTCTCCTCACTCCACCGCCGCCTCGCCCACGGTCCCTTCCCCAGCGCTGCATCGTACGAGCGCCGCTGCTGCTTATACGGAAGCCCCGGCCTCGCATCATATTGCATTCTTTCGGTCCTTCGAAAGCCTCGCACTTCTCGAGAGCCTCTCCAGATCGAGAATCTCTGCCAATTCGACGTCATTGCAGCTTTCGCTAGCTGTGAACGCCTACGTCGCACTCTTCCCTACCCGCTTCCGCCCAGAGCGAGCTTTGCAAGCCGTTCTTTCACCTATATCTGTAAGTAGGCCCACTCCCGACAACCTCCGTAGCCCCCATCACCAGGTGCAGCACGAGACCGTCGCTCCTCCTTGTGGCCGTACATTCGCTTACGCCTCCGGTGCAGACTGCCCGCTATATAATTCTTTTAATGCTCCCGACACTCTGAACGGCCCTCCACCACCACCCGTTCGACCCGCCTCCTCAATCCCACGGAGCCGACCGAATGCCTTACACACCTCCTTCCCAGCGGTCGCCGGCCTCATCCAAGACTAACAGTCCCACTTTGAGCCGGAACCACTCCTACGTCGATCAGCCTCCCCGCTCGCCAGCAACATCGCAACGCCCGTCGTTGCCCCGCTCCGTCTCATCCACCTCATATCTGGCCAAGTCCCGCCGCTCGCCGTCAACGGTAACGGACGACAACACCGCTGCCAATGGCCAACAAGGAAACGGAAGCGTAGACATCAGGTCTGACGCTAGCCGCCATGGCCCGTCAGCTAACGGTAGCCTCCGCCCGTCTCCTCCTCCTGTGAACGATCTTCTGATTCCCTCAGGTGCGATCACGACTCCTCCTGATTCCTCGGACGATGAAGACCGTGGCCGCAGCATCGGAGACCTCCGCGAACTCCAACAGGCACTGCAACACATCGACCAAAAGCGGATACCTTCGCCCACCCGCGAGACAACCGAGAACGTAAAGCAGCCAAGGCCGCAGCCGCCTGTTACACTGGCGCGTACGCTGTCCGCGGAAGCACGCAAGATTGCCCACTCGCGATCCTCCAGTGAGATCATGCTGTCCCAGCACATGATCCACCCCATCAACACCGACACTATCGTCAGCTCATCAGATGGCAGCGATGCCGAGGACGAGGAGCTGCGGATAAAACCGCCGCTACTCCGCAAGAAGTCTGGCGAGCTGGTCAAGCCTGCCCTTCGCCCCCCGTCCCGCCGTCGCCCTTCAAGCATGCCTGGTACTCCCACCTACTCAAAAGCCGTCCACTTCAACGAGGAAATAGAGCAAGTCAGGCACTTCCTTCAGGTTGATCGTCCCATTGCTGTCAGCGCTGGCTCTTCGCCTGTCGAGACCTACGATAGTGAGAGCGAGTACCCCTTCGGAGAGGACTCGCGGTCCAAGACACCTGAGTGGGACATCAAGCTGATGAACTTCCCTTCGCAAGAGACACACGAAAGGCAAACAGCACCTGTTCGCGTGGAGCGGATCTTCCTGGCGTCTGACCACCAAACCCTGGTAGGCAACATCGCCGTAGCTAACCTGTCTTTCCACAAGTTCGTTGTGGCCCGATTCACACTCGACTACTGGAAGACTACGTCTGAAGTGGTTGCAGAGTTCAATCAGGATGTTCGCAAGAAGCAAAAGGACGACGGCTACGACCGATTCAACTTCAACATTAAGTTGGCTGATCAGGCGAACCTCGAGTCCAAGACTCTGCTGCTGTGTGTTCGGTACCAGGTTAACGGCCAAGAGTACTGGGACAACAACAACTCAATGAACTACCAGGTCGACTTCTCCAAGAAGGTCAAGCAGCGCGAGAGCAAGCGCCCGACCGCCAGTCTCGGCGCTGTGCCTCGCAGCCGTCATTCACCCTTGGCACCTCGTCCACGTTCTATGCCTGCTGCTTCGTTCGACGACGACTTTGGCCACGACAACGAGATCAGGTTTCAATTTGGCAGCGGCCGTGCCATCATTGCCGAATCGCCAAACTCGTCCATCAAGCTCAAGCCCAGGAGCAAGCGTGTCAGCCTGCACACCGCCCAGGCCTCAACCCGGCCGCAAGTTGCACAGGCTTTCGCATCTCGCTATGACTTTGGTGCCTCATTGACGGCTGCTCTTTCCACCGCCCAAACGGCGCTCGGTGACCGCAGCGGACTCAAGGTGAACACCCAGGGCAAGATGAACAATGGTTACTTCGACCGCCCGGCTTCCACTATCCAGGCGCCTGCCACCACTGCTCCCGTTCCCGGTACTCGACCTGACGCTCTGACACTGGAGAAGCCCGATCTTCAGTCTGCCGAGTACAACGAGTTAATCCAGAAATTCTGCTTTGTACGTTCTCAACCTCCACCTCAGCACCCTGGTAGCTTGGCCTAGACGGAAACTGACTCGCATCCAGTTTGGCACTCCCACTGGCAAAACTTCTCCGAATGTCACAACGCCTTCTACGAAGACCGCCTATGGAGACGGAGCTCTGGATTACGTGCTCAACCAAACTACTGGAAGTAATCAGTCTTCGGCAACAAGTAGTCCTCCCTCGCCTGCCATGCCGCTTATGGTCGATGGTGCGAACGACCTTGTCACTTCTCGAAGATCATCACCCTTCATCTCCCATCAAACCTCGCCCGGTCCTCTTACCGGTTACTCACCCGAGGATCAATACACCCCTCAGTATCAGTATGGCTACGGTATGCCAAGTGGTGCCTTCAACGAGCGCGGCCAAACTCCTCAGGCTTGCGTTTAAGGTGCCATTACACTACCTGAACTTGCGGGGCACTTGCTTTTTTCCGCGTAACGAATCTCTTTGGACACGAATCACGCTTACGACCTGATTGATCGGACGAGTGGAGCGGACGTTGCTGGTCCGCCGGTTACTGAGCGCTCACGAATCTTCTTCACTACGGTACGAAACGTTGTTGTGGGCCAGCGATTGGCGTTCCTTACGATGTCTTGTTAGAGACGATCGTCGTATTCAGCATAATTCGGACGGCTCCTTTGCAGCATCTTCCTGTCGGCTCTCTTGCATGTCTTTTACACCGGCGCACATTGGGTCTCACTATGGAGTTCCTCGGACATCTTTATCTTTTCCTCATCCTTTCTCATACCATAGATTGGTTGTAATGCTCTATGAGCGTCCCCACTCTGGTTTCGGCGTTTGTTGACGGTCGCTCTTGATCTGTGGGTTCGCAAAAGCTTGTGTTTGTTTTGCATCTTGGAGCGCTTTTTCCAGTATCTTCAGGACTCGTTGATCCGAATCCTCGTATATAGGCGGTAGGGGGAGCAGAGAATGCGAAAATGTCGTTGTCTAAATTGTGTCGACTGTACCATCACTTGTGCGTTGTAGTATTCGATCGCGTGTGGCGCCTGGGAATCTGATCGGTTTTTTTGGTTGGGGAGTCGCGTGCTGGAGGCTTTCGGAAGCTGTGGGCCAGCCACCATATATACCAGTAAATGGAAAAACATGGGGCATAAAACACTTACCTCGATTTCACGATGTATCCACCTTGATGCACCCCGTGAGCATGGTCCGTACCGTCGAATTCTGAAGCTATTGGTTCTGGATCGTGACTTCCCTAGCCATGTGACCATGGTCTAAGCTTGCTAGCGTTCCTGGAATCCCGAATTATCTTCCACAACTGCAGCCGAGCGCGTATTCATCCACGACACAACTAAGTTGTGCCCTAATCGAGCCGCTTCGTGGTCCCGTGTCCTTCGCCTTTTACGTAGCACAATGTCTTTCTTCGGTAGCAGAAAGGTGCCTCGGCCACCTCCCGTTGTACCCCCGCCGCCTGTCCCGCGCTCCGGCCCCGAAATCGACGCGACGACGGTGATATCGCTCTTGGCTGTACTCGCTCTTCTCGGTGGCGCTTACGGTGCATCGATAAAAGTCCTACCAAAGACTACCGTCCTCAAAACACGCGTACTTTTCATCTGGCACCTCTTCGATGCTCTGATCCACTTCGTCTTTGAAGGCTCCTTTCTTTATAACTGCTTCTTCGTCACATATTCGTTACCCACCTCTTTTTCCGCTGCATCACGCAACCACCCTCATATCACTCTCTTTACCCCTCCGGATGTGTATTGGCTGGGCAGGCAGGATCTTCTGTATGGGGCGAACTATGGGACCGGTCCATTGAGTCGACTGTGGCAGGAGTATGCAAAGGCGGATAAGCGATGGGGTGGTACGGATCTAACGGTCGTGGCTCTCGAGATTCTGACTGTGTTCGTGGCTGGGCCTTTGGCATGCTGGATATGCTATCTCCTTACCAAAGACGAGAAGAAGGGTGCGTTGAGGAAGTGGTTTTGGATGATAGTCCTGGCCACAGGGGAGATATACGGAGGTGAGTCACAAACACTTTCATTACCACGTTTCTGTGGATACAGAGCATATGCAAATTGTGGAAGCCATCATAATTGGTGAGGCGAGGTGTGGGCCCGGCCCGAGGATTGTTGAGACGAAACAACACTGCGTTGTTGCGAGTATGTGGCTGACACGTGGTTCACCGCTACATTAGGCTGGATGACTTTTGCGCCTGAGTGGCTGACCGGAAGCCCCAATCTCGACACAAGCAACTGGATGTACCTGTAAGTGATGGTTCAGTTTCATGTCGTCTTTCTCAGTCTACCCGACTATGTTTTCTTCGACAGTTGTATGAGGACTGGCTCGAATATCTGGTCCGCTACATGGCTGCAAACGTCCATCTCATCTCCCTTGTGTATACCCTTTCTCTACTCTGTACACACATTATGGGCTTTCACATGCGTTCATGTCTTGTTCCTGGCTTACAGAGATGATGTGCTGGTCCTGCATATGCGCTGTCGGGCGGATGCGCCGTCTCCCGCGGACCCACTCCTAATCTCTCGACCACAAGCAAGATCCGCACGAACCACGCCACCATTATGCCTCACCAAGCCGGCTGTATTATCTTTCTTCCGTCTATTCAATTTCTCTCATACGCTTTATGTAGAGCAAAACTAGGCTCTGACTAACACGTATCAGCTGGCTTTACCTCGCTTTCTTCAATGGTCTGTGGGTCGTCTTTCCACTCTGGATCTTATACGAAGCATACAAAGCTATGAGCTCAGCCATGTCGCAGGCCGAAATGGTTGATTTAGTCAACTACCTCAAAAAGGATGATTAAACCTTGACATGCATACCGTAGCAACTCGATATGTATGCATTGAGAGCACAAAGACAAGGTCTTACGGCGTGCACGTCGTGCCAGGTGTGCCTCTCGCGATCGAACACTACGACACGAGATCTACTTCGGAACTTTCTGTTACATATTGTCGACATCCCATATGATCTGAATTTTCAGAATGGACGTTTTCTCTACAGACGAATACTACATCTGCTCTTACCCCTGTGCGCTCCACTATACCGCTCTGACACTGACCATCAAACTCACTTTCGCCCTACCGTCCCTTGTATCATCATCCATAGCCACTCCTCCCAAAGTCACGATACACTTTGCCATCCTTCGTCGTCGTTCCTCCTCCAGTCTCTATGAGTCGTCCACGTCGCCAATCTAAGATAGAAAGAAAGAAGCCTTAGATGTAAGTAAGAGGTATAATTTGGGTTCATCGGAAAGGTACTACGGTGGCGGGGTTCATACGTACTAGCATTAGGGTCAAAATGAAGCAAGGCCGTAGTTATGTCTGCCTCGCGGTCGCTGACAATTGCTGTTATATTCTGTTGGTTATTTGTCTCACGCATAATCCCACGCCGGAGGATAGAGAGGCTACATTTTGCAGTGTGCGATGATGGGCATGAAGGAAGTTGAAGAAGGCAGGATAGCGTTTTCGAGAAAGCGCTTGGAGAAGACTAGATTGTGTCGAGTCCAGCTGGACTACACCAAACATCTGTCTCTGTATCAATAACTCCGTTCTTTGCTGGTGTGGTTTTGAGATTGGCCATGAGCTAATGAGCTCTCGCGATATTCGAATTTGACTACTCGAGATGACAATAAGATGTTTGCAATACTAACGGAAAGATAACTGCTCTTTGTTGTATTCTCACCCTATCCCTCGTAGCGTTAGCAAAGCATCACGAGCATGGCGCAAGCTATGTTGGCAGTTAACCCGCCCGATAGACGCCATCGGACGTGCCAAACACATACGAACATGTATTTATATCATCCATTCTGGGTATCATATCTTCCTATCTTTTCCCCACCCTACCCACCGTCCCTTTCCTGCCCCCCTCACTTCTTGCTCAACCCCTCGAGCACCCTCCTAGTCCCCTCAACAATCAACCCATGCTCAACCGCATGAATCCTCTCCTCCAACCCATCCAAATCCTCTCCTTCTCTCAACTCCACCTCCTGAGTAACAATCGCATCTCCAGCATCCACCTCGGCAATAACCTCATGTATCATAACGCCCGTCCTCTTCAGCCCTTCCTCTTTGCCCGCCTTCCACGCGCGATCAATCGCATGCGCACCCGCAAACTCGCCCGGTAAAGCGGGGTGTAGGTTTATTATCTTGATACCGGCTGCGGCGATGGGCGAGAGGAAGGAGGGGGTGACGATGTGCATCCAGCCTGCGCAGACGATGAGATCGGGACGGGGATGTTGGCCCTCGAGAATGATTCTTGCAAGTTCCGCATCGTATTCTTGGCGGGCGGTGTCGAGCGCGTCAGGATGCTTGTCTTTGTAGGACTTGAGGTTGTGGTAGGTGGTTGGGATTGAGGCTTTGGCGGCGCGTTCGAGACCGTATGCTTTTATGCGGCTGGTGTAATTCGTTAGTTTAATCTTACAACAAGGCTAATCTCGAGGCGGAAGTACTTGGATATAACGTGGGTTATGCGCGTGTTGGGTAGAGCGCCGGATGCGCATGCGTCGATGAGGGCCTGGAGGTTTGACCCGTTGCCTGAGATTAGGACGGTGAGGTTGCATTGGCGGTCTGGCATCTTGTATCTGGGCTAATCGAAAATTCAACGCGAGGATTCAATACGGATCTTACTGTGCTGCGTCAATGCGATTCAGCTCAAGGTTCGGGTTCCAAAATTTGGGCGTGGGGTAGCTCTGCCCCGCGCGGAGATTAGATTGCAATCGCCGGTCTGGTGAGAATGGACATGCTACTGGGTATACTACCTAAACTATGGTCATGAATGAAACCTTTGGACAGGGCTTCAGGGTAGCCTACAGTGAAGATGCGCTAATAATCCTCGAATGTTCCTGCGCTTACTCAAACACCCTACCACGAAGTGAACTATCACCTTCACGACCGCATCCTCTTTGAGCTGGCCACTGACACTTCATCCATGTCTTCCCACTCGTCATCCTCGTCGTCGTCAACGACAACTGCTCTCTTCCGCTTGCTTCTCGCGCCGACTGCGGGCATGGACGCTTCATCGGCCACGAGACTCTGGCGCTTCTCCAGCCCTTCAAGACGCTCTTCAAACTCTTCCTGCTGTGAGTCGACTGCAGACTCCAGCTTCTCTACACGTTCAGCGACATCTTCCATCTGATCTAGCGCGTCTGCGTTCTGGCAGTAGATACGGTGCTTCAGCGCCAACCGCCAAAAGTAGTACCTCCGATCGTTCTCGTTGCTGGACTTTGCTTTCCTTGTGATTCGCGCCCGGTTTCGGTTGTTTGGTGGGATGGTCGACAACAAATGGAGCTCGATCATCCTGTAAAACTGTCTGCTCACAATCTTGGTTTCCATCCGAAGTGATTCAAGGTCTTTACCGTTGCCAAGGATCTGGTCCCGCGGAATTGGTGAGTCCTTCTTTAGAGATTCAGGAGGAAGATTGGAAGCAATTGACAGTTCCTGGAAGGCGGGCAATGAACGAAGATAGGTGATGTCGCTGTAATCCCGCATGGCATCGAAAGCTTCGCTCGGATCTTCAACTGGTATCTCGAAGACGAAGGGCTTGCTCACCAACTCCTGGAAGATGGTGTCGTACAAGCGGCTTCCGAGCGATTGACCTTGGTATGGAGGGATAATGAGAAACTGGGAGATGCGCTCCCTTGATGGCGTCTCGAGGAGGTCGAGCTTATCAGTGAAGAGGAATGTCTCGGGGTCTTGCGTCAGACGAGGTGGCGTATATTTGCCCGCATTGCCATTATTGCTGTCGACTGGTGATGGCAGTTGCTTTGTGGCACGAGCGATCTCGAAAGTAGGAAAGACCCAGGCGCGATATGATGTGGAGAAACCGGCGAATGTGTAAGGAGAAAGTTGTGAATCTGACAACGGCGTCACGTCGTATAGAAGGTATAGCGTCCAGCGGTCGAGCGTCTCTTCGTCATCCAAACCGTCTATTGTCGCGCCCTCGATGAACAGCAGTGTCATGATTCTCATATTCAACCAGATGCGCCTAGCATCGGGATCCGTCATGGAGGACTTCCATATCTCGTACTGTTTTCCGTATAGGCTGAAGGTCTTGATACACTCGCCCGGTGGTTTCCAGTCTGAAGACGCAGCACCGGCAGCATCGTCAATCGACTCGGGGAGGTACTCGCGAAACAGCTCTGGTGATAGATCGATCTGATTCAGGTCTGGGGAGATTTTCTTGAGGTCGAGTTCCTGGTCGAACGAGATCTTCAGATTCGGCTTGAGGTCGTTTGCGCGGAAGTCTAGCTCGATGCTGGGGTTCTTGTACCCCGCGATGGTCTCGTTCTCTTCGATGACCGTGTATGTGTAGCTGGGGTGGAAGGATTCGTCGTAGATGCGTTCGGGGCCGTCCGCGTTGGACGTGCGGTAGAGGTTGATGTGAAAGCACTCATTTGAGTTGGTGACCCCTACACGATATTAGCAAAGTATACGCTGACGCTGCTCTTGCTACACCTTCGCGCAGCTCCCGTTGCGCAACTTACAATCGTCTAGATCGAGCTCCATAACGACGGCGTTTATGCAGTACCGTGTAAATTCGAAGCGTGCGCTTGATTGACGCGGATTGTCTTCGTGACGTCGGTGGGGCAGTGGCAGTCGTGTGTAGCAATTAGATGATGGACGGGCAGCGCGCAGAGTGAAGGGAGCAGCTAGCGCGACGGGAGACGCGTTTTAGCGCAGCCCTACGTCGTCGCTCCCGCCCCTGCGCTCCCAAGCCTCAAGAAAGTTGCGCTATACGACCAACTTGTCCACATCAGCCTCACAACGCGCCAACCCTCACCGCCAACACCACCACCAGCCCAACTACACTGCGACGGCCGACTACTCGCGGCATGGCTAGCGTCGATTAAACGTCTTACTTCCCTTTTCCCTTTTCTGTGTACCGGGCGCATCTTTTCTTCGTGAATCCGCCTAAGGGACGACACTACACACGCCGCAACCATGTGGGACGGTCTTTTTATGCTGCTCGCCTTGAGCACGGTTATGGGCATTGCGTGCGTTTCTGGTCACTACAGCGTACAGGATCGATTTCTAATATGCACAGCTCCTTCCTTGCCGGCATCCTCCCGCTCTCCTTTAACCTCTCCACCCGCCAATTGCGCATCATCACCCTCCTCGGCACTGGTGTGCTAGTAGGCACCTCCCTGATTGTTATCATCCCCGAAGGTATCGAGACCATGTACAGCGCTGGAAGCAAGGCGCATTCGCACAGTGCGCGGAGTGTTCAACCTACCATCCCCTCGGTTGTGAGCCTGCAAAAAGAGATACCTCACCCACCCAAGTTCCCGACTTGGAAGAGAGCAGATGATGTCGCCACGAGCTCGTTCACTGGAGGAGCGATCAAGGCGCCGGGCGCCGTCGACATGACTAGCGACAAAGCTGCCATCGATATGCAGCTGAAGAAGATTAAGGATAGCAAGGAGAAGGAGAAGCCTGCGGAGGACACCCACCCACAAAAAGGTGGAGACGACGACTCGACAGAGGGCCACAAAGAGGGACACACTCGCGTGCACGCACCGGAAGACGACGAGCCAGCCCACGGGCATGCTGAAGCTGGCCACGAAGACGGGCCCAGCCCACATGCATACATTGGCGTCGCACTGATACTAGGTTACATTCTCATGTTCCTGGTCGAACATCTGCCAGAAGCCCTGGCTTCCGCGAAACCAAAATACCAGCCAATGCACATTTCGTTATCGAACCTGGCACGTGGACCGCACAACTCATCTTCATTGAGTCTCAACGGCATGGGCATGCAGAGCGCTGCAGTGACGCCTCTCGCAACGCCTGGTCTACCTCCTCCACCTACAAAGAAGACACCAGCAGCCACGATCGGTCTCATCGTGCACGCATGCGCCGACGGAATCGCGCTAGGTGCCTCCTCGACAGCCGAGTCCACATCTCTGTCGCTTGTCATCTTCTTCGCAATCATGCTGCACAAGGCCCCTGCAGCATTTGGTCTCACTTCTGTTCTTCTCAAACAGGGGCTCTCAAAACGAAAGGCGCGGGCACATCTCGCTTTCTTCAGTTTAGCAGCGCCGGCTGGCGCCTTGGCTACTTGGACCATCGTACACATGTTCGGACGCAACCACTTGGGTGGTGATGAAGGCCTAACATGGGCGACTGGTTGGGTATTGTGTTTCTCGGGTGGAACATTCTTGTAAGTGCACTAATCCCTGCTCTACTGCCTCTTGATGTACTAACTCGACGCAGGTATGTTGCGATGCATTCCATGTCTGAAGCCACAGCCTCTCAACACCCGCATGAAGACCCGACCGCGAACGGTTACATGGACGCATATCCCGGTAACAGCAGCATGTCCAAGGGCGACATAAGCATCGTCATGATTGGCATGCTACTCCCGCTCATTACACAAATAGGACACGCACACTCACACGGCCACTAGAAGGAGAAGGATTTGGGTTGCATATTGTGGCGTTCCACACAGGCTGGTTTTGCACCGAGCTATCTTACTTGATTTAGAGCGATGTTGTCGAATTAGTTTTATGTACCGTTCTGGAATGATACCAAATCTTGATCTCGCCACATCCTACCCACTTGATAGTCGGGCTCTGTTCTGGCCAGCGCCTAGTAAAAAATGCTCATGTAGTCTCCATATCAAGATCGCCATGCTCGTGCACCCCCTCCCCCGCCTCTGCACCAACCACCCTGTTCTTGACCATTTTGGGCTCGCCGACCCCACGCCACCTCATTCCATACATCTACCTCACCCTCTGGTCGTTCACAAGTGGCGGTCTCGAGGCTTTACCAGCAAGTGTTCTTCTTATTCAACCTAGTCTTGACACACCGCTCCCCTTCTCACTCAACTCCTGCTATGACGGATCGCTTATCTACGTCTACACCCGCCTCCCGTGTTCAATCTTTCCCATATATCTGCCGCCGTTTCTTGTTGCTTTCTTCAGTCGTAACAGGCAAGTTCGAGAGGGTGGTGTGTGAGATGGACATGGTTACACCAAGGGCATAAACAGTTTCAAGGGCGAAGGTGTATGTGTTGGATGTAGAAGCGTTGGGGAGGCTTTATTTTACCGTCATCTGTGAGGATTGCGCGGCGTTATAGCGCGATGGGTGGGTTGTGCTAGTGATATCCATGGTGCGGGTTGAGGTCCATGGAGGATCGAAAGCAGCCCAGGATGCATGATCCTTTGTAGCGGTTGCGTCGATACGGATGATGAAGTGGGCTCGTGGGATTCTTGGTAGCGACTACAGAGAAGTAGAAAATTGGAAAGTGTCATTTGTGCGAGAGGTCGAAGTGGTTGTCAGGACCCGGGGTGTCGAGAGATCTCGTGCTCAGGCGTAGCAATCTAAGGCCGATGCCCTGCGCTCTCCTTTTTCTTGTCTTTACTTTCGCAAGTCCATCGCAACACCCTCCCTTTCTCACCAAGGCATAGCCTCCGCTCCGAAATCCACCCCTCGCGCCGTATACCTCCGATCCTCCCACGCCTCTTCCTCCTCATCCTCGTATTCCTGTCCTACACCCCACCTCTTCTTAACCTTCTTAACAGCAAATCTTCCAATGCCCCAAACCGTCGCCGCGAAGATTGTGCCCGCAATGCCCGTTGGCGCCAACACGAACCCCGCCCCACTAACCACTGTGCCGAAAGCTCCAGCACCTACTGTCGCGACCAGTGACCCGATCGCAACGTATTTCGCATATCGGACGAGTTTCCAAAACGCGAATAGGACGCTGGAGCGGAGGACGCGGAGGAGTGCGCGGGTGCGACGTGAGGATACGGCATTCGGCGCCGTCTTGGGGTCGTAGAGGTAGCGTAGATTACGTCGCGTTGAGGCGAGTGCTGAGCGGGAGCGCGCGTCTATTTCCTGGTCGTGGGCGTCTGTGGAAGACATTTTGGGGCGGGTTGCGATTGGTGATGGCAGCAGTCGTAGCACGAGATGGCGTTTGAGAATGAAGTTTCCAAAGAACGATGACGTCATTGGGCATAAAGATCGAAGCCCTAGATCTTTGGTAGACGGCTCCTTTGCAGGGGCAGGACATCGTGATTTCGATAACAATGCAATGTTGTGAAACTTCTACATACAGGCTACTTGGCTCTTGTATAAGCATCCTGGGAATTGGGACCACTCGCTCATAGACTTCAATCTCGATACCACCATTTCCTGTCTTCCTCTCGCGCTCGTCACCTACTCTGTTTTTTCAACCTTGACTTCCTCCATCTTCACTCTCACTTCCGTCTTCACTTTCCCAGTTTTGACTCTCGTTTCCGCCTTTATTTCCACTTCCTCTTCTTTCACCCTCATGTCTACCTTGACCAAGTCCAACCCGCCATGAAGCTCCAGTCTCTCTTTCTTGCCTTCCTCCACACGCCCAATCTCGTCCGGATCTACGTTCTGTTGCCTATCTCTCTCCAACTTCTTTTCTTCTTGCAAAGTGCGCCTGCCTACAGGGTGAGCCCCGGGGCTGGATGTATTCAACTCCCGTAAAGACCACGCGAACCTCCGACCAGTCACTGGATCTTGGATTCCAGCACGGAAGGCCGCACCGGTCATTCCGTGTACCAGGCGCGGCTTCTGGCCGTCTGGTTTGTGTATTTCCATGTCAATAAAATGGTCGATATCCTCTTGTACAAGTGATTCGGCCAGGTGCTTATGCTCATCAGCTGCGATGATACTTAGTCGCGTATCTGAGTCGGGGTCGTCCCAGCAGCGTATGGTGACCTTCATATAGCGAGTATAGGGTGCCAGCGCAAAATGAGCAGAAGCGTAGATCCATATGTGTCTTTGCATTTCGTTGACGTTTTGGTCAAAGTACGATTCGGGCTGGATGTAATCTTCTCGTTCCCACCCTGATGGCTCGTCGGCGTAAGTGATAGCGCATAGATTGATTACGGGCTGATAAGCCGCATCGGTTATAACGCGTATGGCTAGGTAGATGGGCATTGATACGCTGGTGAGGGCTTGAGCGCTGGTTGACATAATGAAGAATGGGAAGTAAGTGCAGGTGTAGGTGTTGTTACAGCTACCGAAGATCTATATATACCACGACTGAAATAGTCCATGAGCTCTGATAGTGTCAGGTGTTCAATGTTCATGAGCCTCTCCTTTCCCTTCACTCCTGTTCATGATATCATTTGCCCCCTTCTGTCCCTCCGTACGGTCCGCTCTTTTCAAGCCATTCATTCGAGCAGCCTTGTTGGTCGTCTTCCTTCTTCCTGGCTCTCACATGTTGGGTGTGCTTGTCGCATTGCTGATGCCCTTTAAATGCTTTCTACACGTGATCCTCCTCGGCCGAATGGTATTATTCTCGTGCTGACATCAAATGGCACAACAGCAGGTGTCATTATTCGAAACCTTCTCAACGTTGCATCCGCTTCAGTCTTTCTTCAGCAGCCCTAGCACGCCGTTCTCTTTCCATCCTAGCTCTTGCTTCTGGCGTAAGGCCCCTCATCTCTTCCTCCCTCAAGTCTGCTCCAGTCTTGACAGGTAGTGCACCTAACGACTTGCCCTTGCCCAACCTCTGCTCCTTTTTCTTGATTTCCTCAGCCTCGCTCTCTTTCCGCACACGTTCGGTCTCAGCCTTCCGTCGATCAGCTTCAGCCTTACTCTCAGCAGCCTTCTCTATCTTCTCTTGAGCGTCTCGCTTGTCTGCCTCGGCTTTGGTGATGGCTGCAGGTATACCGGCCTTCTCCCAATCCCAGGCAGACTCTCCGAGCTCTGAGCGTGCGACGCGGAATGCGTCACGAGCTGCACGGTCACCAGTCAGCGTGAAAGGAGTTCGCGCTTCATCATTCATCACAGTCGGATCGGCCCCGGCTTTCGTCATAAGCGCGAGGACGATAGGGGCAGAATTCAGTGATGCAGCGAGATGTAGTGGTGTCGGTGTGTGATGGTTGGTTGGAAGAAACTGGAAGTTTGGTGAAACTTCATTTGTCTTGAGGTAGTTTAGAAGCGCAGGAACTTTCGAACGCTTGATCATCGGTATAACTTGGGACGTGTGTAATGTCGCAGCCTCTTCTTCCTTCGTCAGCTTCTTGGGCTTAGGTTTTGCTGGAGCGGGTGCGGTAGTCGCAGCTTCTTTCTGAGGATTATCAAGAGCAGCAAGCGCTGCTTCATCAATAGTACTCTGTTTTACTCGAGTAAGCTCAACGAATGCACGCATCAGCTCTTTCTGAGTCGCTCGCCGTGTACTGAAGGGAAAGCCTCGGTTGCGTGGGTCATTGTGACGGAGAATCTGTCCTTCATACGGACCAAACAGAGTTCTCCGATTCGTCGCGCCGGTCGCGCGGACAAAGATCATTTCTGCAGTATCGATCATACTTTTCCAGCTAGTGAGTAGCTCACGGACTTCGGCGATGAGTGCGGTCTCGTTATAGCGACGAATTGATGAACCGGCCGAGTGTGCGTTGCCCTTTGCGTTATCGTTCGCTGATTGCGAACCTCCCTGTTTCCGTCGTGTAGTGTATCTGTGGAAGGTCTTATGCGCAATTACAGTCGCCGAACGCTCGTCGAATCCTGTGTGATTCTTCCCGGTTTTTGGTGCCAGCGCCACTATCATTGCAGCAAAATGACCACCGCCTATCATACAGAGAAAATAATGCGGCCCAATATCTGTGCCTGGTAGTGGGACACCGCCCTCATTCGCCTTGATCTTGGGAGGCTGCTTCGGGGATAGCTGCTTTGCGCGTATAGTGTCTAGGATATGTGACTCGTCCTCCTGCTCCGCATTCGAGAAGATCGCGCGATAGACGCCCAGCGACATGTTTCCGGGTATTGAGGGTGACGAGAACCATATTAGCGGAGGCTTGCCGGCACCTCTCTGCTTCTGCCTCGAGGAAAATTCCTCAAATTCTGGATCTGAAATCTTAGCCTGCTTCTTCAACAGTGCGCTTAATGTCGAGTCCTTTGCCTTTGCCCCTTCTTCATCTTCGTCGTCGTCGGATTCCGATGACTCAGACCCTGATATGCTCTCGTCCAGATCTCCGATGAGCTTTTCGAACTCGGCTTCGCCTACAGGCTTTGCGCCTTTTATCTTTTGCTTCAGGTTGTATCCATGAAGGTCGGATCGGACGTGGGCGCGCTGGTCTGCAAGGGATGCGAAGCTGAGCCCACAGAGGTTGCACGATGTGGCCTTTGCTGGGCTGCTGCTCTCGTCTTCGACGGTATCGGGACTTTCGTTCGCCGTCACAGGTGTTGGGATCGGTATCTCTTCCAACGGCTGCTCAGGCTGGTCCTTGAGAGTGAGTGTGGCTAATAGCTCTTCGGGAAGATCAAACACTGCGAATGTTAGTTCCGTGCGGACTGGGGAGCAGGCATCTTACCATAGAGGGGGCGCTGCAATAGATGGTCTCCTTTTTGCGCCATTGTAGCTTATCGAGAGTGTTGGTGAACCGTGGTAGGTGGTATAGGATTATGAGTAGAAGATCCGGAGGGGCGCGTTGTAGATTGAACATGACGTACATTGCGGCCTTACACGCGAGTCATCGCCAAACACACGAATCCCTCACGAGCGCGTTCAGCCCTTCACCACCCACCAGCCCTGCAAACGAATTCTACACGTCAATCACCAGAGAATCACGGATTTGGTATGAAGATTGGTCTGACGCGTTTTATTTCTCACGGCGTTCCGCAAACAAACAAGATTACGCGTACTCCGCATCGGCTACCTTCACAAACACCCACCCTGGCTCTACGTAGTCCAACAATTGCAGAGGATCCGGCCCCTCAATATGAGCAGGAATGGATACGAATTCTATGTTGCGCTCGGCAAAGCACTGGTGTAGCTTTGCAAAATCTGGCGGAAAGTGACCCAAGAAAGGTGGCCAGTCTACTACAGCAACTCTCTTCAGAGACAGCTTCGGAGAAGCCATCTCAGCGAGATGGCGCAACATCGCTGTCGGGCCCTCCCATCCCTTTGAACCCCAGTGTTCTTGCCAGTCAATCTCAAAGCTCACCTCTTCTAGTGATGGTGGGAGATGGTGTACTAGTTTCGCGACGAAGTCGGGAGTAGACTGAATCGGATCGTCGTCGTGTGTTATCAAGCCCATATCCAACGAGCGAAGACTTGACATATTCGAAGCTAGGCGCGCTATTTGTAGCACATGCCCCTGACAAAGCATTTGCTGGTCTCCCCGGATGGAGAGATGCTCAATTGTTGCGCGATTGTGTATGAAAGCTGCTGCAAGCTCGCTAAACTTGGTCAAGAGGTTTGGAGAGTATATGCCGCGCTGATCTGCAAAGTTGAAGGTGCAAAGTCAGCGCATGCCATACATGGTGTTTGTACAGTCCTGTTATTACCATTATTGATGTCTTGTTCGTAGGAGAAACTTTTCAATTTCCTGCAAGCTTCGGTGAAATACCTCAGCGTCGGCACTTCCACAACGGATCGTTTTAGCGTGATTTCCTGGACTTGAGATGATGCGGGATCTAACACAGTCTGAATCGGAATGTCTTGGTCCCAAGCTGGGCGGTTGTTGTTCTGGCCGAGGAGCACTAGGTCCGAAGCGGTAAAATCGTGGAGTGAAGGAAGGAGGAAAATATATGCTATGGCTTCTAATGACAGCGGACCGTGTATGTTGATGCTCCTCAGGTGTATGAAACGATCTGAATGGTTCGCTATAGTCGTGAACCAGTATTTGTCATCTGGCCAGAAGGCTTTATCTGCGACGACAAGTGTATCGACATTCGGGGTGAACATGAGAAGGATCTCGAGAAATTCGTCATCGCGTCGTGACCCAGTAGCATTAGACATCAATCTGTCCTTCTCTGGTAGCTCCAGAATCCTAATGCATATGAGGAAGACTGCTTGATTCTCCTCAGTATCGTCATGATCGTCGAAATCGTGCTTCCACGTGAGGTTTCGGACTCGATTTCCAAGCTCTGGATTTGCACATAGCGTACGCAATAGTGGCCAAGGACGTCGTATGAAAAGGCTTCTGTACAAATGATCGAGCGAAAGAGTGTACATCCGCCGGCTGGTCAGACTAAGGTGACATATGTCCTTAGCGTTCTCATTTGGAATGCGCTCGATGATACTCATAACCAATTCGTTGGGCAAAGCATCGAAGGGACACGAATATGGTGGAATGATGGACATGTTGGCTACCATATCACCTGGGCGGATGGCTGGGAGATAGCATGCGTAAACGGGTCATACAAGCGGCTTAGGCTTGGGATGCATCATGCAAGAGATTGATTCACTCAAATGTCAAAGTAAGACGGTCGTTAGGTAGGGTGGCAGAGAGCGCACGATGTTCCCCGCGTTGGGACGCTAATGCCTTAGCGGCTATTAGACCGGTCAAGCACGTGTTCCAAGGTTGGCAATAACGGCGAATCATCTGCTAACATTACATCGACTTACAAGCGACTCAAAAATCACAAAGCTCTCAGAGATATCCCAGCTGCCTGCAGCAGTCGTACAAGAATACAGTCTCAACCAGCTTCATGCGGTTATTGGTGAGAGTTCTTTGACGCGATGAACCGCGAAAGCGTCCGTTTTGTGTATCCAGAGCCAACCAGACTCTACGTCTTCTTTGATAGCTAGTGGTTCCTGCCCCTCGATTTTTTCGTAGAATACATCGAATTGCATTCCTGAATGTTCGTATACCCGCTTCAGAACCTTAAACTCGTGCGGGAGGGGAAACCAACCTGCCAGTGCGGGCCAGTCGACGATATAGATCTGTTTCAATCTTGATGCTGAAGAAGCAGCGGCTTCGACCAAGCATAATAGGATATTGATGAGAAGCTGTAGCTTGGATTCTTGGCCTAGCTCATAAGCCCACTGAATCCGCAAAGATTCAAGAGTATTTGGAAAGGTTTGGACAATCCTTCTCGCTGTAGTTTGCAGGTCTTCAGACTGCGAGGATTCCAATGGACTGAATGTCTCAATATTGCAAGGACCAATATCCAGAGTACGGAGTCTTGCGAGTGTAGGTCCGGCAACATGGTGACACAGCGATGACATCTCCTTTTCCGTCACCACCGAATCCACTCGTAGACGTAGGCTCTCGAGAGAGGTATTTGGGCCCCATCCAATATTCCCGACCCATGGGAAGATAGCTGGCGGCATTCCAGGATGCCATTTCAGTTCATGAGGGACGTGTTCATAGGTAAAATTCTTGAGTTTGTTGAGGCTTCCGAGAATGACCATTGCCGAAGGGAAGTGTAGGTCTGATTCTCTTATAATCAAGCGCTCGAGAGATGAGCCGTTAGACAGCCGCCGATCAGCGTGAGCTTCGCCGTCACCATCCCAGGAGAAAGCCCTGCCAGGCTCTCGACGCATATCGACGGCCTGAGTAAGCTCCAAGATTTGTATGAATGGCAAAGTGAGAAGCGGTACAATACTGCCTAGGCGTAAAGGACCCAGCAGAGTAATGGATCGAAGATTTCCGAAGTGAGCTGGATTGGCGGCCAAACTCTTGAACCAGTAAGAGTGGTCGTCCCACTGCCATACATCATGTACCGTGATCTTCTCAACATTAGGCGTGAAGAACAAAAAGAACTCCAGGTACCACCAATGTACTTCGTGATCAGAAGAAAATCCTATGAAGCGGGTTGGTAGGTCTGTAGAAAGATCTGTGGTGTCCAAAATAGCTCCAGAGCTTCTGAGTTTGTTGGCAATGGCATGCCTGTCGCCTAAAAGCAGGCAGCGGCGTCTACATGGCCGACTCCAATAATTCTGATACCACACCACCTCCTTGACATAGCTTATGAGTTCATGACAGTGGGCTGAATGAGCCAGCGTTATGGTACGCAGGAATTGCTCTGGGGCGCAACCTGGAAATCTTCGATATAGCCGATCTAGTGTGAGGCGATGAAACCGCGAACTCGTTGCATTCAGATCGCGTAATGTCAAGTAATCATCTGCATCCAGCTGATCTAGGATGAGAAGGATCAATTCGTCGGGAAGTGTGCCCAGATTCAGGCGCGGTGCTAGTGCAGGAAGGTCCATCGCTCCGAGATGTTTGGCAGATACGTTAGGCGAATGTCTGGACAGATTTAATTTTACCACCAGCGTAGTATGCATGCGAAATCGCTGCTAAGACGATGGGAGGTAGATGACCGCGGGATGGTGGCGCGGAGACGGCGCGCACGAGCCCCTTCCCTCCGGTTCCGCGGACAGCGGCTCGATCTGCAGGGGGTCCAGAGGTCACGGTACCTAGGTATTTAGAGAGTCAATGCTCCTTCACAACACACTGGTAAGCAACTGGCCTCCTGACGAGCTCTTCAAAAGCGCTGGGAATATACACGCACATGTAGATGGTGGCCATCTTCGACATCCCCAGGGCGACTTTACGTGTCGATCTCAGTGCCAAGAAGGGCGTACAAATGCCCATGTCCGACAAACTATTACCACTGCAGCATCGAGGCACAGCTTACAGTAAGCGCTCAATACCTGAGCCCGATGCACTTCATTGCCCGGATCATTGAATGAACAACATGCACCTGTGGACCGCCCGCCCATATAGGCTCTTTCACCGGCAGGATCCTTGAGACGGGCAGAACCTCACAAGATTTTCGCTCTCATTTATAGCGGATTTGCCATCATCTTCGTCTAAACGCACTTGGTACAGTTTCCACATCTATCCCATAATGGATATCTTTTGCCACCATCAGATGCATGCATACGCAAGCTAGAAGCCTCTGGCATGCAAACCACCTTTTAGACGCTATTCCGGACAATCCTGGTAGAATATGGATATGCGATATTAGAAATGATAGCTTGCGTCTGCGAGCATATTCTACACTACTTATGCGCGACCGGACGCCTGCATGAACAAGTGCACTTGTGCCAGGCTCGCATGCCTTGGTGTAACCGCATCGTAAGTACAAAGAGTTATGGCATCTCGCGATTACCGTCTGCAACACACTGACTTCATTTCCACGCAAGCCTGTACCTCGCTATGAGATTCGTATTTGCATTTCTGCTCTCGGTTGGAAGCACCGTAGCACAAGCTCCTCGAACCGATGCGTTAGCCAAACACGGGCTTGATCAACTATGGCTTGATGTGGCCAACCATTCCGATAGCTACACCAGGAACTGCACCTCAAGTACAGCCGCTCGGCGCCGTGAGTGGTAGGTTCATGCGGAGCACAAGAAGGATTTCACTCACACCCCACAGGTCTAAGCTGAAGCGTTCGGAAAAGCTGAACTACATTGAAGCCGTTCACTGTATGGGAAAGAAGGAGGCCAGGACTCCAGCTGCTGTCGCCTCCGGAGCCATAAGTCGTTACGATGACTTTGTGGTCACCCATATCCTGCTGACACAGTACACGCATGGAAATGTATTCTTCATCAAACCCCAATACGCCTCATCAGAATGACTGACATTGACAAGGGTAACTTTTTGTCGTGGCACCGCTACTTTATGTGGGCATGGGAGCAGACTCTGCGTGAAGAGTGCGGATACAAGGGCTATCTTCCATATTACAACTGGGCGTTGTGGGCTGATAACCCCGCCGCATCCCCTCTCCTCGATGGAAGCGACACAAGTATCTCTGGAAATGGGATGTATGTTCCCGGTCGTAATGCTAGCTGTGTGCCTAACTCAAATCGATGCTTCGTGGAAGTTCCACCCGGCAATGGAGGTGGTTGTGTTGCCTCAGGGCCCTTCAAAGAGTGCGTCGTCATTCTCCAAATGCCTTTGTCATGTCCGGAATACTGACGGCAGTCCAGCTGGAAGACAAACATCGGACCGGTATCCTCTCTCGACACCACGGTGCCGCCAAACCCATCTCCTGACGGTCTAGGCTACAACCCTAGATGCATCAGACGCGACATCAATACACGCTCATCATCAGAAACCAGCGACGCTGATGTTGCTGAACTGATCACAGCCAGCGCCAACATCTCCGCTTTCCAAGACACGCTCCAAAACCCTTCTCTTGGAAGACTTCGTGTTCACCTTGGTGGTCACCAGACCATCGCTGGTGACGCGGGCTCAGACTTCTACAACTCCCCATCCGATCCATACTTCTGGCAACACCACGCCCAGATTGACCGAACTTGGTGGATCTGGCAGAACCAAAACTTGAAAGATAGGCGGCTTACTATTGCCGGAACGCTTACCTTTCTGAATGCCCCACCAACGAGGAATGCGACGTTGGATGATGTTATGACATTCGGTGATTATTTGGGCTTTCCGAATATGACGATCAGAGAGGCTTCCAGTACGCTTGCTGGGCCGTTTTGCTATATCTATGAGTAGAGAGGTGATAGAGCGGGAATTATCAGTTCAATACATGTATTCATCGAGGTACCTTGCCTAGGCTCGCCGATGTTCCTGTCAAGCCTTCACATCTCTTTTCCGCCAAGGCCGACTTGTCCAGATCTGATCGGTGACCGCAATGTCCATAATATCGATGTCTTACCGGCATATAGTACGAACGGTGTGTCGCAATTTCACCACGTATAGTGCTCGTAGCACCGTAAGCGTTCGCCCCGTAGAAGCCTACCATGCCCGAAGATGTAATTTGCTGCATCGTCAATAACGCGTCAACTAGGGATGCTTCCAATCACGCCAGTATGCTCAGAGGATCTAGTAGAATAAGATCCACACTTGACATAGTCGAGATACGGGCCATAGATTGAGTGGTAGACTAAGCGGAGAGTAGGAGATCGAAGATACATGTACAACGCCATTTAAATTTCTACCACGTCTCTTGGCGATACCTGCCACTCTTTTCCATACTCACTAGATAATCCTCTGCGCCCTTCCTTTCCATACTCCCATGTTCTTGGAAAGCTTCGATGAGCGCTTCGCGCACCGCTTGGGGCATCTTGCCCGATGACCCGCAGATGTATAGGATACCGGATTCGTGGAAAAGGTGAGAGAAAACGAGGGAGGATTGCTGCCGAATGAGATCTTGGACGTAAACTTTTTGACGCTTTCATTTCGTTAGCGTAGACTCAAAAAGAGTGGAGCTGGAAACTTACCTGGTCTCGAGAGAACGCCACGAAAGTCTCTAGAGGCACACCAGAGGATTGCAGCTGAGCCCACTCCTCCTTGAAGAAGTAATCCGATTCGGCGTTGCGACAGCCGAAGAAGAGAAGATCCTTTATGCTTCCATCATTTTGCTGCGCGTGGCCGTTTTGAAGCTTCTTCTGCTCCTTGCGCCATAGTATACGTTGGTAAATCAGGGAACGCATTGGAGCTACACCTGTGCCTGGTCCAATCATGACGACCGGTCTATCGAGTTCCTCTCTTCTTACACCCAGCCCGCCTCGCGAAAGGGTGACTGTGATCTCATGACCTGGCGTGAGTGAAGCGATATATCGTGTAGCAACACCCTGCCTAATTCTTTTAATGACGGTCTTGTACTTTACAATCGCAATCAAGAGCTCAATCTTTGTGCTATTCTCCGTCTCTGCGTCAGGGTTCATTGCGCTTGCGATGCTGAACTGTCGACCACGTAACGTAGGGATGATACTACATACGCGCTGCCAGGGAATTTTGACAGACTCAAACTCCTGCAAGACCTCTAATATACTGCGGCGCGGGCGTGTAGTGTAGTCGTAGAGTTCGTCAAGATACTGCGGGTCGGTAAACTCCAGTAATCTTGCCTTGTGAAACTCGTCGTTTGTGTAGTGCGCGAGCTGGGCGAAAAACGACCTTCGTGGTATGGCAATGATGTCGAGGTGGTTAGTCAACAGCTGTCGTAGGGTCATTTTACTACCTGGCTCCAGATTTCGAATTGGCAAGGTGGTGTCTGGGGGCGTTGCAGGCGACGAAGGCACGAAGCGAAGGGGTACATCAGCCTCGGAAGTCCAGCCCATACACTCAATGAACTGTGATACATCTGATGGAAAGTTCTTGGGGTATACTGTGAGCACATCGCCTGGAGCGTAAGGATGTGTCTCTGGTATCTCGAACTTGATATGCCGGACATCCTGCCAATGATTTGTTGGAGTGACTCTCTCATTGCTTGTAATCTTCGCAGTCAGTCCGCCACCAATATTCAGGAGATCTGATGGGGGAACATCCGTCGCATCGCCATTCAATACAGGTACAGTGTTGGTGTTCGATGAAGACGTTGTATCATCGATGGCAGGCGCAAGCAACCATTTCGGGTCTAGTAGAACATCGTCCGGTATCGGCTCGACACCATCAGCGAGAGGGTAAGAGTCGAGGAGATTTTGGCGCAGTTTCGTTGACCATGGTAGGAAAGATCCGTCGATACTTTGGAAGAGTCAGATATGCACCAGTAATTGCAATGATGGCACGAGTCTTGCTGCATATGAAGTTTGACAAGCAACATGAGACGATGCATCAGGAGATGGAAAAAGAAATCTGCAGACGCGATAATCGTATTGACATACCCCTCTGGATGTTGCTCGTCCGACTCTCCGCGATCGCAGACTGGCTGGGCTCCTAGCTGGACGAGCCGATTGTAGAGCTTGCGATGCGCCCAGTTGTACTTTGGATAGGACGTATCACCAAGACCAAAGGATGCGAATTTCATCTGTTGCAAGCACCCTGGTCGCAGCCGAGCACTTCGGATGGCTTTCCAAAACTTCTGGCTATTGGGTGGGAGGTCACCCTGGCCCGTAGTGGAAATGGCGATGAGAACGACATCGTGTTGCAGCAGTTGTCTCTACCGACAGTCAACCATGGTTCCTTGCACGCGACACCGCCACTGACATACAAGAGTGATGGCGTTGAGCTCAGCGACTTCCGTGTGGAATCTCAATCGCTCAGCGACCCTTCCCATCTCCTCAGCCACATCCTGCGCGTTCCCTGTTTCCGATCCGTAGACGACCAGTGCGCGACGCGCTTGCAGTGCACTTGCCATGGCGGTAAATCAGCAATCGGATTGCGGTGAGACAGACTAGCCTGGACAGGCCTCGAGGAATGGGAAAATTGAATGGCAGGGCCCCCGGATCCAGTGCATGAAGAAGCGGTGCACTAGCGGACACGTCAACGGCAGGCGGGTCTTTTTCATGCTTCTAGCGGCAGTGGGCGGTGGGGCGGAGGTGAAGCTGGAGCGCCATGCAAGCCAAGTTCGCGGTCTACTGTGGCGCTAGGACGAGCTGTGGCGTCGCGCTTATCTAAGCAGCAGATGCGCATCGCGTGCAGTCGCACCCGAGCATGCACATGTGTACGATGGGTAAGATAGTTTGACTGTCGCTCGTTGCTTGTGCTGCGGCGAACCCAGTCCATGCTCTCAGCGGCCGCCTAGTCGCCGTTTCCCCTATCCATGCACGCCTGGCCGCTGCTCTCAGGCAAGTGGGCCCTTGAGTGTGCGCAGGGGCCGCTTCCGTTACCGGATGCGGCCAAGCCCCATGGCTGCGCTCTTCAAAATAATCTGCCTGGTCGAGGCCTGCTCCCTCTCTCCCCCATCAAGTCAACAACAGAGACCAACAACGCACCCCATCAACCCAATCCTCTCTCAACCTTCCCCGGGCTCGTAGCTACCCACTCCACACCCCCCTCGTCAACAGTTCCACCAGCAGGCGGTTCGGCAATCCCATCACCCTCGCAACCACCCACTACTGTTCAAGGTTACCTTTACCGGTCTACTAGGACTTAAGTTTCGTCAACCTCTTACACGCTCGGTCTACCACTCGTGTTCGTCAACCACCCAAACTTTAGCAATCATGTCCGCACCTGTCGACAGTGTCACCGCCCAGATGGCCACTTCCTCCCTCACCGACAACAACGCTCCCACCGCCACGGAGAGCACTGGCGCTCAACAGCCCACCGCAGCCGAGGACGAGGCTGTGCGTGCGAGCGCCGCCGAGGGCAGGCGACTTTACATTGGAAACCTCGCATACGCGACCACCGAGGGGGAGTTGAAGGAATTCTTCAAGGACTACCTGGTGTAGGTGGACCCTGTTTCTCCGCATGACGCAACACGTCCAAGCTAACATGTGGTGCAGCGAGTCCACGACCATCCCCACCAACCCACGCACCTCGCGCCCCGTCGGCTACGCCTTCGTTGCCCTCTCGACCCCGTCCGAGGCTGAGCGTGCCATCGCCGAGCTCAACGGCAAGGCCATCCTCGACCGCAAGGTCTCCATCCAGCTCGCCCGCACTCCCGAGGCCCACGCCGAGGGCGCCGGCAGCGGAGCCGAGGGCAACACTGGCGAGGCCCGCCGCCGTACCTCCACCCGTGGACGTGGTCGCGGCCGTGGCCGTGGTGGTCGTGCTGGACGTGGCGGACGTGCGGTAAGTACCTCCGCACCCCAACGCCTGTCTTCACAAGCTAATCAAGTTCTGCAACAGGCCGATGCTGAAGGTGCCGAGCAGGTCGAGCTCTCCAACGAGGCTCCTGCCGATTCCACCCCTACAAATGTACCCGGCCAAGTTGCTCCCCTGACCGAAACTACGAACGAAGCGCTTACCGCAAAGAAGGGCACCGACAAGTCTGCTCCCCAGGGGCCCCGTGAACGCAAGCAGCGCGGTCCTCCCGAGGACGGTGTTCCCTCCAAGACCAAGGTCATGGTTGCGAACCTGCCGTACGACCTGAAAGAAGACAGGGTGAGTTTGCACATTCCCTTTTCAGAGCCCATGCTAACTGGTGAATCAGCTACTTGAGATCTTCAAGGATTACTCCCCCACCCAGGCCAAGATCGCCCTCCGCCCCATCCCCCGCTTCATGGTCAAGAAGCTCCAGGCCCGCGGTGAGCCCCGCAAGGGCCGTGGTTTCGGTTTCGTTACCCTCGGCTCTGAGGAGCTCCAGCAAAAGGCTTGCTCTGAGATGAACGGCAAGGAGATCGAGGGTCGTGAGATCGCAGTTAAGGTCGCGATCGACTCCCCCGGTAAGGAAGACGACGCTCCCGACGCGGCCGCCGATGGCGAGGCTCCCCTTACCGAGACCGGTGCCACCAACGAGACCGACAAGGTGGTCGAGAACCCTCCCGCCACCTCTACCCCCGATGCCACTTCCACTCCCGCCGCCTAGGTAGCGGCTGCTGCTTAGACGTGCGTCATCCTCAGCAGGTCGCGTCACACATTGCATTGCGCTGTGGATTTGTGTATTGAAGTTTCTGGCCTATCGACATCTACCATTTACCTTGATAGAAAGATATGGGCAAGCGTCTTCAGCATCTTAGTCGTTTTAGGTTATCGGGTTATCCGCAAAAGTGCGAATTCGGAGTCTGTCAGGTGTAATATGGTGGACTATTTCGAGTTCTTTACGGTTACGGAAAACTTATGTTAGCTGGCACGAGAGATGAGATATCACATGAATGAACAAACAAACAAACCTGCCGTCAATACGACGGTTGACGAATGGCTTTCTACGCCGAGAGTCATTTTTTTCCCTTCACTTGTGATTGCGAGCTGCACCCTCCTAAGACACTCAAGGGTTTTCCAGAAGGCGATCGGCAAGGGCAATCGTGATGCGACTTCCCATGTTTTGTTTGCCGCCCATCTCGCTCCCCTGACAGCTCTGCTTGCTTGTATGGAGGCTCTTTACCTTCATTTGATTAGCCCTCGGATTGTTTGGGACTTTTCCGATATGAGAACCTTATCTAGGATTTTATAGAGCATTCTGTAAACGGTGTTAAAGAGGTGATCGGAAATGCACACATCCGTTTCGGGAGCCTGGGAGAGATATTTGGTGGGAAAGAACAATGCGGCTAGTATGATTGAATCAGCATACAACAAGAACGTCGGCATCGTTCGGAAGTCACGCGATTTCATTAAATTCATACAATTGTGTATTAATGTGCGCCATGTACCAAGAACTGGTGAGCAGCCCAATTGACGTATTACTATTGTATTCGTAGCTTGTCAAGACATGGTATAAGTACATAGTACATTATCTGGAATCCTGCACAATTATTACAACAGCATTGAACAATCTTCCGCGATATATGATAAAGAAAAACGACATTGCTAGTGAAATACATTCTTAATCTTGTTTCCAGTCTTCTTGAGCCAAGAACCGACTCTCCCCCAAAAGGCGTTCCAGCCACGTCGCGTAAGTAACACCATATCTCTACTTTCAATGCCCACCCTGGCTTCTACGCCAGCCGCCGGCGTAGGCCAATTAAACTCTGCAAGAGTTGCGCCTGATGGGCCTGACGGTAGGATGACTGAAGTGACGGAATGGGTAGGAGTCGGCAGAAGCGATGCTGATACTGTTACCGTAGAAGACACTGAGATCAATGTCGAGGTATCTGTTGTGGATAGTGATACAGATCGACGCTGGCGGCGTTCGCATTCTGGTTTTACTGCTGAAGCTATGCATTTCGTCAGAAAGAGTCAGGAAGTCACTCTGCTTAAGTAACTTACTGGGTGATGGAGTAACAGAAGTGGCTGGTACATTGATGCTTGAGAGCAAGGAGAAATTAACTGTCAGAGAAGTGGGCACTAGAAACCCCTTCGCCGCCTCAGATGGCTTGGAACCGCCAATCAACGTAGCTGTCGCGGGCAGTCCACTGTACATGGGCGGAACAGTACACTCGCCATCTGCTCCAGCTGGCCCGGCATCAACAGGTACAGGACGACCGTCATTATCGATATCAGCCATAATAACGCACCAGTCTGTCCCACTGGGTATCACTGAAGGTTTCGCTTTTCCCCCTGCTGCGTACGGATATCCTTGGAAAGTTGGAGGGGAAACGCATTCTCCGCCTGACCCTGCAGGTCCACCTGCGACGGGTACAGGTGTTCCATTTCGGTTTATGTCAGCGACTGTGACGCACCAGTTGACCTCGGCGGGTACGTTATTCGGAGGAGGGATCACTGTGGTTTTGGCAAAGACGACAGTTGTTGCTGTGGTCTTCACGGTGACGGTTCTGGGGCCTGTTGCTGGCTGGTCTTGTGCTAGGAAACTTTAGCTTTGGTAAGACTTGCGTTGGATTATTGGATTAAGACATACTGAGTAAGCCGACGACATCATTTTGGGATGTTGATCGGCTCACATTCGCTATTGTAGTCATTGAAGGCTGTGCTGTTACTGTGGTGATGCTCGTCAAGGTAACTATTACAGTCACGAGAGATGGCCCGCTGGAAGCTACTACCGAAGGTGTGATAGGCTGCGGAGTTATAGAAGTCGTGCTAGTCACCGTTATATGTACTGTGTTTGATTCGATTATCGACGATACAGAAGGTGATGATATAAGCGTGGCACTCGGGATGATTGGCGACCCAGAGCTGGGTGTCTCCGGGGGTGTTGATGCAATAGACTTAGATGGTACTCCTGAAATAGCTGGAGCTTCAGCGGGTGGCTTGGGCTGAGGGTTTCCGCAGCTCATATTCTTGATTCTTGACTGCCGAGAGCTTGGATCAATGATACTCCAATCGGCCTTTTGATCCGATGTAGTATCTCTGAGTAACTCGAACCAGAAAGTAGTGTACTTCCCAAACACAGCACAGCCAACCTCACTCCAAAACTTCTGGAGTTCGTCTATACCGGCAACGGCAGCGCCATGTTGCTCGGAGTCGGTAAAAGGCCAGCCCATTTCCGCGATCCAAACCGGTCTGTTGCCTGCGCGCTGCTTGACTCCCTCGAGAGAGCCTTGAAAGCTTGTACTTGCTGTCCCGATGCTGTCTTTGTTCCAGTATGGATATGCAGTCATGCCGATGAAGTCTGCATTATCCACTACGGCATACTGCGCGGTATCGACGTGGCCAATCGGTTTGTCCTTCATGTACTGGGCGAACGACGATGAAGCGATGCTGTTCTTCACCTGGGTTATGGTCTGCCCAACGACCGCTGCGGTAAGACCAATTTCTTCAGTTGCCTCGGCACGGTATACATCCTCGTTGCCTATGGAGAGTCCAATAACAAGGTCGGAAAGAGCTTGACCGTGCTTCTTGAACCCTTTCTCGAGTGCGACCATCTCGTTTTTGACGTTTTCATCAGGTGAACCGCCCTTCTGCGCTGGCGTTATCCAGAAACCCAGTAGCAGGTTGGTTCTGGAGACAACAGCGGCATCGAAAGCTTCAGTCGGCTCGTCGAGGGTTTTCGCTGCTCTGCAAGTAAACAGGCGGGCACTATCGAAGGGCATGTCGGTAGTCAGATTTCGGGCGAGGTTGAAGCCATCGAGGAAGTCTGCTTTCTGCTTGACATTTTCTTCCACACCCCAGAAAGTACCGTAGTTGAAGCCTGTATGGATTTTATTTGCGGCCTGCGCGAGGTAGGAAAACCAAAGACAGTAAATAAGGAAAAGTTTCATTTCGTGACGCGAGTCTTGATTAAAGCGGAGTTGGACAGTATATTGCATAGGAACAGAGGAGGAAAGCGACAGTGTAAATCCACGTAGTAAGTACGACTGAGAATTGAATATCCATGATGTGAGGTGATGGGCTACAGACTGTGACAATAGGACATCGTTGAACAATACGGGTTCGCCATTATTCACACGGGAGATCGTGCCTCTACACATATACACGATCAAATAGATTCCAGATTTCTAACGAGTGAATGGGTAGGCGTAGATGAATTATCGTACGCTGACATGAATGCACTTTCGACTGTCAGTTCAGGTAGACGCTGCGATCGACTGAATCGGAAATGGTCGTCTCGCCTTGCAAGGCTGGGAGCCAAGAAGGCCTAAACGGAATCATTGATGTGACACACAATGGTGTAGGAGATGAGATGGTCAATGGTGCGGGGGGGAAGATAGCGACCAATGAGAAGTAAGATGATGCAACGCCCTGGAGTCGGAGAAGCGTCCGTCCCCGCGGCCTCCGAGCTCGCATCGATAAATTATCAGGAACAGCAGGCCGCCACGAGAGGAGCAGTCAGCCCGCCACCATGTCTCTCGCACGTTTTGGAGGTGCTCTCGCGCGCGCAAGGTGCTCCCCGCGGCCGCAATGGCACGCAGCGTATGTCCCCAAGTTCACCACACGTCGGACTCGCCAGTCTAATTGCTTGCAGACGTGCGCTTTCCAGCTCCGCCATCCGCACCGCCAAAGCCGACAATGAGCTCAATTCGGTCAGCAAGCACATCACCCAGCCCAAGTCGCAGGGCGCCTCGCAGGCTATGCTGTACGCCACCGGCATGAGCGAAACGGACATGAACAAGGCCCAGGTCGGCATCTCGTCCGTCTGGTACTCGGGCAACCCGTGCAACATGCACCTGATGGACCTGAACCACAAGGTCAAGGAGGGCGTCGAGAGGGCAGGACTGCTGGGCATGCAGTTCAACACCATCGGTGTTAGTGACGGCATCTCTATGGGCACAAAGGGCATGCGCTACTCGCTGCAGTCGCGTGAGATCATCGCAGACTCAATCGAGACAGTCATGGGCGGCCAGTGGTACGATGCGAACATCTCCATCCCCGGCTGCGACAAGAACATGCCCGGTGTCATCATGGCTATGGGACGTGTGAACAGGCCTTCCCTCATGGTTTACGGCGGTACTATCCAGCCCGGCTGCGCAAAGACCCTCGAGAACCAGCAGATCGACATCGTTTCCGCTTTCCAAGCATACGGCCAGTTCATCACGGGCGAAATTACCGAAGACCAGCGATTCGACATCATCAGGCACGCTTGCAACGGGCAGGGTGCTTGCGGAGGAATGTACACAGCAAATACAATGGCTACGGCAATCGAGACAATGGGCATGTCGCTACCTGGCTCTTCGTCGAACCCGGCGAACTCCAAGGCGAAGATGCTGGAGTGTCTGGCGGCGGGTGGTGCCATCAAGAATTTGCTCAAGGAGGACATCCGTCCGAGCGACATCCTCACCCGCCAAGCATTTGAGAACGCCATGGTCGTCATCAGCATCACTGGAGGCTCGACCAACGCTGTTCTTCACTTGATCGCGATCGCCGACTCTGTTGGTCTCAAGCTTACCATTGACGATTTCCAGAGCGTAAGCGACCGCATTCCATTGTTGGCGGATTTGAAGCCTTCCGGAAAGTACGTCATGGCCGACGTTCACGATATCGGTGGCACCCCGTCGCTTCTCAAGTTCCTGCTTAGGGAAGGTCTTCTTGATGGTAGCCAGATGACTGTGACTGGTAAGACACTCAAGGAGAACTTGGAGAACGTCAGGGATTTCCCCGCCGAGCAGAAGATCATCCGACCGCTCAGCGAGCCTCTGAAGTCCACTGGTCACTTGCAAATTCTGAGAGGATCGCTTGCACCTGGAGGCTGCGTAGGCAAGATCACTGGTAAGGAGGGTACCCAATTTACCGGCAAGGCCAAGTGCTACAATGCTGAGGACGACTTCATCACTGCTCTCGAGCGTGGTGAGATTAAGAAGGGCGAGAAGACCGTCGTTGTCATCCGTTACGAAGGTCCCAAGGGCGGCCCCGGTATGCCCGAGATGTTGAAGCCCAGCTCCGCCATCATGGGCGCTGGTCTCGGCAAGGATGTTGCACTTATCACAGACGGTCGCTTCAGTGGCGGTAGCCACGGCTTCTTGATCGGTCACATTGTGCCTGAGGCGCAGGAGGGTGGCCCTATTGGCTTGGTTCAGGATGGCGATGAGATCACCATTGACTCCGAGTCCAACGAGCTGAACATCGGCGTTAGCGAGCAAGAACTATCAGAGAGGCGGAAAAAGTGGACCGCGCCCGCTTTGAAGTACCAGAAGGGTACGCTTTTCAAGTACGCACGATTTGTCAAGGACGCTAGCCAAGGCTGCGTTACCGACTCTGAGTAATGTTCATGTTGAAATGTCTCTCACGTTCGCATCTGTATGTATATTCTCATGGCTATAGCTGGGGTAAAAGTCACATCCGGAGTTCGGGCATGCGATATTTGTATATTCGACACAATGTTATCGATATAGCCATTTGATCTTCAGCATCCTCCTTATTCATCCTGCTTCATCCAAGCTGCCATCACCACAATGTCTCGAGCCTGATCTTCCGTCGGCAACACGACCTCCTGATCAGCGCTCTGTATTCCAAATTCTGACAACGCTCTTTCAAGCGACTCCTTCGTCATAGCCCAGAGCATGCTCTTCGAATCCCCAGCAGCATCCCACATGGCTTTGTCCACGTCTGTCCCGAACCCTCTGTAGATACTCCAGTCTGCAGGCACGAAGAACTTTTTCGACCTCACTATGCCCTTCAACATTGCTCCAAAATTTCCAGCGGCAACAGCTCGGTGCATCTGATATCAAACAAGCGATCGAGAAACTCAAACGCTCTAGCATTCCAAACCAGCTGTTTTATCTCGAGCATCCACATCAATCTCAGCGCGGCATTAGAACTCCTTGGCTATGCATCAATACCGGTAACGAAATCGCAGTGTCAGCATGCTCGAAAAGTTTTGTGTCTCGTCGAACTTCAGCCTACGCAACGTATGCTTAGGTTCGTAAAAGCCGCTGCATTGCAAACTTCGTCATCTCTACGGTATGGCAACATGGTAATGCGTGCTGGAATGTTCTGAGTAGTAGGGTTATCTGGTAAGCAGCAAGAGGTGCAGCGTCTCCTTGATCAGTTCATAATGCCAGGTCTTACTGAGCAGGGAGCGCAGTAAAAGCTGGGCGCGCGGTATTGGCGGGGCTGAATCTAGGACAGCATCGAAAAGCAATAGATGTGAACTTTCTCTACACGAGCTTGGATGCCATGAGAGGACGATTGATGTGCAAAGTGGTCAAGAAGTTTGTGGTGTGTCAAAACATAAAGAAGATATGGAACAAGTGAGGGAGACGGGAAGGTCATCTAAAGACAAGGGGTTGTAGAATGAGTTGTTATCTGAGTTTGACAAGGCTGTTGACATCCTGGTACATTTGGTTCCTGATGAGTGATGAAAAGCAAAGACAAGTACGGCATAAAGTTCCGATACGAAAAGCAATAGAGTATGCGGGATCATCTCCCGTAAAGTTGCCGCAAGTTGAATCCCTGATCCATTCCTTGCCATGTTTTTCTGTCTAGATTGAGTTTCTCTTTCTCATGCCGGTGAGTGTCAAGAATTTCGGAGGAAGGTGCGGAGAGATGGGCACGTGAACGCATTGACCGCCCTGCGTCGAGAACCACGCGTGGATTGTTTCATCACACACCTACACCTGCAGCCTCAGCTTCATCATGGCAAACTCCGCAACTTTAATGATTTGTTAAGGGGTCGCAACGACCCAAGGAAAAGCCTAAGGAAAGGTAATGCAGGGCGAGCAGTGTGACCTGGTTGCGCAGCTCCCAGGAGCATGGAATCCGCGCAGGATAGCTCATTTCTCCCCTGACCCGGTGTTTTGGAGTGTTTGTTGATGATCAGGTGTTCATGTTGGACCGTAAGGTACCTGCGCTGGTGGAGCTTGGCAAGCTGACGATCAGCGACGGAGACACTGGAGACCGGCGCAAAGCGGCAAGAACTGTATGACATGAGAATGCGCTCGCATCGATGACCGGAAAGCTGCAAAGTGGGATATCGGCGAGCTGTATTGCCCGCCATCGAGATACCTGCCGTTGCAGCTCGAGCGACTATCAAGAGTGGAGCGGATCTCCCTCGTTCCGTTAGCAGCGTCGATCATCGCGTCCGAGTTAGGCACTCCTAGACGCGCTAGACAGAACTTGCCGATGACGCTGAACCATAAGTTCCGAAAACGCAAGATCGACGTCTTGGAATGTAAGTCATGGAAGGTGCAGATCGTCAGGGGAGTCAGCCATACAACGCAAGCCTGGGGTCACAGAAGATTCGGACAAGGCAAGACAGATGCATCGTGAGCCTCACCACCTCGCAGTTGGCCAGCAGAACGAGACAAGTCTCTAGTCAGACGGTAATCTGAGCATAACCACCGCCAACTTTCGCAGTATCTCGCTGACTGAAGATTTTCGCCCCAATTTCGAGTCCCCCACCAGAATTAAGACGTGTCTTTGACATCTGTGGCGCAAACTGACTTATCCAAGCCCATGAGTGGTGTTCCGGAAGCTTGACGGCCGGGATCTGCCTCGAGATATGCGCTAAGAATGAGGCTCTAATCTTCCTATGCTCTAGCATGCGTGGGCCGTACCCCAGAGGATCAAATCTTACTCCCCAGCTAGGCCAACAAGCTTTCAGAGCCGTCTACGTGCACGATGGAAACGGCAGTATCGGCCACTGCTTGTATGAAGATCGCCAATGCGTGCATCGCGACTAGACAAGCTGTAGCCCTAGTCTTCTCACCATGGTGTGGCTTGGTGTAGGCTCTCTCCACCCTGGTGACGATTGCGGCTGGTCTTGGGCTCGAGCGTACAGGAGAGAATCGATTGACTAGACGTGCTGACTCGATGTATGAGAAGGTACCTGGGTGTTGTGAGGGCATATAAACCACACTGCAGTCCACCCACAATCATCATCCAGCTCATCCACCACAGTCTCTTCAGTTCTTTGCCAATCGCTCCATTCGCTTTAGACTTCTAATACTTATCCCTCTTAATATCCACCAACCCACCAAAACAAAAACCCAACCGCCAACATGCGTTCCTCCATCGCCGTCAGCATCATTGCTCTCTCCACCTCGGTCCTCGCAGCCCCTACTCCTCAGGTTGCTGGCGTCTCTAACCTTCTTGGTTCCGTCACTAGCACCCTGGGCTCTGTCACCAACCCCAGCGCTGGCAGCGACAACCTCATCCAGGGTAACGGCAACAGCAATGGCCAGAACAACGGCAACGGAAACACTGCTGGCAATGGCAACGGCAACAACAACGAGGCCGGTACCGGTAACTCTGCTGCCAGCGGCAACAGCTTCAACCTCAAGCCCCTCGGCAGCAGCATCCTGAACAACGGAAAGCGTGCTGTTCTTGACGGCGTCAGCGGCCTCCCGGTTGCTGGAACCATCCTCAGTGGCGTCACTGACGGCAAGGGTGGTCTCCTCAACGGTGTCACTGTTGGCCCTACCACCGACTCCCTTACCAGCAATGTTCCCGTTGTCAACGGCCTCGTTGGCCGTGGTGTCACCGACAACCTTGACCTCACCAAGTTGAGCCAGACCGAGCTCCTCTCTCTCCTCGGCCAAGTTACCGGCGCCCTTCAGGGTACTGGCAACACTGCTACTGGCACTGTCAAGCCAGTCACCGACGCCACCGCACCAGTCACTGACGCTGTCAAGCCCGTCGCTGGCGCCGCTGGAGGCCTCACTGGAGATCTCTTGAAGCGTCAATTGAACCTTGGCGGTGCCACTGGCACTGTCGGCGGCCTCGTTGGCGGTGTTACTGGCACCACTGGCTCCGTTACTGGTGCTCTCAAGCCCGTCACTGGTCAGCTCCAGCCCGTCACTGGCGCTCTCAAGCCCGTTACAGGCGCCACCGGAGGCCTCACTGGAGACCTCCTGAAGCGTCAGTTGAACCTTGGCGGTGTCACTGGCACTGTCAACGGCCTCGTTGGCGGTGTTACTGGCTCCACCGGCTCCGTTACTGGTACTCTCAAGCCCGTCACTGGTCAGCTTCAGCCTGTCACTGGTGCTCTCAAGCCTGTCACCGGTACCCTCCAGCCTGTAACTGGTGTTGCCACTGGCGCCACTGGAGGCCTCACTGGAGATGTTCTGAAGCGTCAGCTCAAGCTCGACAGCGTTACTGGCACCGTCAGCGGTCTTGTCGGTGGCCTCACCACCACTGCTGGCTCTGTCACTGGCGCCACTGCCGGCAGCGGAAACTCGCTCCTCAACAACGGCAACAACAACGGCCAAGGCAATGGCGTAAGTCTCTCTCCAACACCCTCCTATCTTGACCTTCAACTAACATCACACCTTATAGAACAACAACCAAGCCGGTAACGGTAACGGAAACGGAAACAGCGCAGGAAACGGCAACACCGCCGCTAGCGGCAACGACTTCAACGTAAGTCCCGAAACCGAGCTTCCTGAGATCAATGGCCCGCTCGTCGAGCTGCCTGATGTCAACTTTGCTCCCACGATCAAGTCAGTCTAGTCTAGATCATTGGGTAGTAGCTGAGTTTCCATGACATACGCTAACGGCCTCCTGCAGCTTTGAGTGAAGGCAACTATGATTTGAGTGCGATATACTCGGGACGATTTTCCTTTCTATGATGACGATGGCATACTTTGGTTTGCTGGATCTCTATACATATTTTAGTAGTAGTACCAATGTACTGTTTCACACTGTAAAACCTGCCTTTGATCTGTCTTGTTCCGTGCGTGATGTGTTAGTAGTAGCCCATGTCTTTAACAAAGTTATACACCTTGAATCGACGTATGAGTAGTTCCATCAATATCATTGGCCACAGTTCTGAGTTCCCCATCCTCATACTTTCACTTCCATCCACACTCATTTACTTTCGTGTCACGTACCTGAAGCTGTCTCATTAAATCGTTACTAGCAACGTGTTGAGTAATTGTTATCATGAGATCTACAAAGAATAAAAACCTTCTTTGGTCCAATGTCTGCAACCATACACGGCGGCAGCAGCAACATTACGCCGGTCATGCATTGACATACTCATCGAAAGCAATGTCCTGTATAGCTCTCTACACAGGGTAGGAATTGATGAAGATAATTAAACGTCATTAGGTAGTACTTGCTCCTGTTGTGCTCCCAAAACACTGTACGCGTGACAATTATTTTGCGTCGTCCTTAGTGACCACCAGTAGTGGGTAGCTAGAAGGCAATTAGCACAGAGTCCTTATACGTGTCTAGGTGAACAACTTACGCCGAGGTAGACCTTGAAGGAATCGTAGATGAGCCATTGGAACGCAGTTAAAGTACCAATCATGAATATACGAACAGGTAGTCCATTCCAAAGACCACCGAAACCGATCTTGCCGTATATCCTGCCGATAGCCTGACCAGCGCCCTCGCCAGCCTTTCGGTCGCTGTTGAGCTTCGAGACCATCACGTCTAGTATATGTTAGCTTATTTTCGCGACTCTAGAGTCCTTACGCAATGATTTTCAACGTACCTGCGGGATGCGAAACGACCGCACAACCTATACCAGCGATGTATCCACCGAGAAAGCTCACGCCGGTTTGCTGCAAGCTTCCGTATGACTCCTTTGGCTTACCCAAGAAGCCGTAGATTTGCTTGACCGTCTCTTCGAATGTAGCGAACTTGACCATGGTGTACGGGATTTGACGCGCCCACAGTGGGTATAAGCCCTTGTACAGACCACCAACACCCTCCTCCTTGATCACCTTCGACCAGCCTTCTCTCAGTGTGTTTGCGAACGGTGGCATGGTAGTCTGCATGCGGACCTTGATTGCTTCCATAGGACATAGCGCGATGTCGGCGAGGAACTCGGCGGAAGCGGAGGCAGCTAGGTATACGACTGTTTGCGGTGCGCCGGGCGCCAGCTTTTCGCCGTAGAGGTATTTGAATACCTCATAGAACCCGTACTTTCCAGCACCTTGCATGGAGTAGCCGATAAAGGTGGGTGTCCAGCCGAAGAATACGCCCCGCAGACCTTCTTTGGAGTAAATCATTTTCCAGGCTTGTGAGTTGGACTTGTAGAGGTTGGAATCGACTTGACGGCGGCATTTCACCTGGAAAAATTAATTAGCAAATGAAAACCCAATTGACAGCCTGTAACGTCCCCGGGCAATCATTCACTCTTTGCGAAAGCATGCGACTCACCAAATCCAGCGGCGTGACCATAGTGTGTGTAGGTCCGCACGCGATAATACCGCCCATCGTACACGCCGCAAAGTACGAGCCTGAGAAGAGCTCAATCTTTCTCTGCGGCTTCATCGCGTCCAATTTGCCGGCCATTTTGAGTGATCACTGTATTCCAATCGCTTCAATCGCGTTTATGACCTTATCTTCGCGTGCGGTCTGGTCGCTATCGTAGTGTCGGCGCCGGTTGACTGGTGTGGACGTTGTCGCGTGCTACTTCCCAGGATGCTATCGCAAGCGGAACAGAGATTGGAGATCTGTACAAAGGATAGACGAATGATGAATAGAAGAGAGAACGGGAGTTCAGATTAGACTACAAAAGCCGACCGGGGCGCCTTGTTATGACCGCACAGCTTGGATAGTGGGAAAGCTTGTCCGCAGCTTCCGCAATTACCACGCTATGACGTCGCTGTTGCAGGTGGGACGCGCGACCGCCACGCTGACGAAGCCTAGCGTGATGCTTATCGATACATGAACCCCGACCCTCCGCGAACTATCGACTTTCGCTACCAACAGCACAATGAAGGATCCCGTTCCGCTACGTTGAATGTCAATTACCTTCGTGGCAAATACGGAAAGGGAGAGCAATCATTCCAAACTCCTTCACGTCGACTTCGTGTGAACTGACATCCGCGACTCATCCGACTGCTCAGGCAGCTTCACGCCGGAGGAACACGATCTTGTATGCATGATGATCGTAATCATTTGCTGTGTCGTGAAGATACTGAAGGTCGTCAAGCGTGATAATCATACCTAATATACAGACTTCTCCCCGTCTAAGTACTCCCAAGCACCACGCTATGCCGCCCAAACATGAACAATAAATCAAAGAATGTTGAAGAAATCGAAGCCGAAACGCCAATGCATCAGCTGGAATCCACATAAAGCATCAACCCCCCACCATTGAACTCGTCGAAGAATCAATATGTGCAGGGCTCAGAGAACCCTCTCAATATGCTCTCATGCTCTCACGAGACCCATGGTTCAATTCCTACCACCCTGAAATCTCGTTGAAATCGTAATTTTCTCATCCGTTAATAGCGTGAGCCTTCAACTCCGTGCTGAAGGGCCGCCGCTGGCGCCGTCATACTACAAAGAAGAGAAGACAATGAGTGGATAGAGCTGGGCGAATTGCGGGCGGACGAAAGGCCACTCAACAATTACAAATTGTTATCGTGTATGTTGTCAGTCTCTGAATCACTACCAAAGTCGGAATGGTCATAGAGATCTCCCGCTGACAGACCATCATCTTGTGGCCATGTCTCTAGCCTTGGTTCAATTTCTCCAGTCCAGTGGGCAATTCGAGAGCTGTCGTTGGTGTCGTCTCTATATGGATCCAACTCGGGATCCTCGCTATGGATCAGATCGTAGAGCTGCTGAACGAGATACCGGCAAGTGTCGATGAGAGGAGATAGATGGGGTTTGAGCATGCCATGATCCTTCTCGTACAAAATGCGCTCCATCATGTCGGTGACCATCTCGCGGAGTACTCTCCATCTCATCTGCACCAGATCCAGAGGCCATCCTTCGTAGCTCTTGTATAGCTCGCAGACCAGCATCTGTGCACCTTTTCGCACACTGTCTTGTGCGTGTAGCAGCAAAGGAGTGGCCCATATGCGGCTTTTCGCTATGATCCATGTGAAGAATATGTATCGGTGCTTCTGTTGAAAGATGGCCGCGTTCTTTGTTTGCAGAAGACCGCCAACAAAATCGAGGACAGCCAAACCTCCTGGTAGACGGTCATCGTCCGCTCTACTGGCTGACGCGACCGCCTTCGAAACCGTTGTGACGATCTTGTAAACGTTGTCCACCATCGGAGAGTTCTCGCAATACGAAAGTGCCGCTTTCACGTAAGAATCGCAGAAAGGGGCTTCGAGGGAGACACCCTCGTAGATGCTCTTCAAAAGGTTGGTCTGGACTTGTGAGTCCTGCCAATTGAGCATCGACTTGACAATATCGCCCGGGTGGAAGTGTTCCAACTTTGTTTCATCGAACATTTCCAAAGCCTTATCCAAGACCGCAATGGCCTTGAGATCGATGTCCCAGTGATACAGAACCTGTCGTTCATGGAATGTTAGTGGAAACCTCAAGGTCTCTCGATCGAGCGTAGACGAACGATCGTGCTCGTGGCGAAGAGGTTGCAGACTCGTGTTCATGCGTGAGAGCAACGCTGATACGAATCCAATGAACCTATTGTAAATTCCCGACTTCTTGCTTATAATTCTCCAGAGATCGGGTTGTTCCTCCTGGAATTTAGCGTACGAGTGCATGCAGAGTAGCCTCAAGCAGAACACCAGGAAGCCATGGTCCAATAGAAGACCGGTTTCCAGATGGCCCATCTCAACCATCTGAGTCAGTGTGAGGTAGAAATCATCCCAGCCCCGTACGGCCATGTAAGATTCGTCTGCAATGACACGCAATCTACCGGTAATCTCTGAAAGTACACTGCTTGTCAGAGTGGAAGATTCCAGATCCATCTCGTTGTCAGCGCTCTCTAGACCGTATAGAGTGGGCTCTTTCTCTCGCAAGACTTTGAGGCAGTCAACGAAGAAGCTGCGCATCTGGGAACGCACTTTAGCGTGCATGCAGCGAAGAAGCATGTTAAGAAGGGCAACATCGTCGGTAGCGAGTACCTTGAGAACAATGTTGCAGCAGGTTGAGCATGGAAGAACCGACCGCCGCAGCTGCAGTAACGTTTCTGAGAAGATTTCGGCATTTGTATGACGCCAGACGATGTGCCCAAGATGCGCAAGTACTATCTGTAAGGAGTGTTTTTCCTGTCGGAAGTCAGCGTCTTGAAACTTAACGGGTTGAAGATAATACGACGTACCTGCGTGTGGTCTTCGGAGCAAGAACCGTGATTGAGTGTACGTGACATAGCATGAAGCTGCCGCACGAACTTTGTATGGTTGGGATCGAAGCGGGAATATTCTCGGATGAACAGCTCGTTGGCAGAATCAACTTCTCTCTGGAGCGTTGGTGGCATGGGAACCTTGAGCGTTTTCCCGTCTGCAGAAGTGACCCAATCACGCTGGTCATCATCCACAGCAGTACGGCGTTGATAGAAGAGCATATATGCCGAGTATTGTTTTAGTATGCGGTTGTATGAATCGTCTGTGAAGCCTCCGAAAGCTTTGTACGCAATGTCTGCTGGGTCGAAAGATCCAACACTGCTATCGTCAAATTCCACCCAGGTTTGTGACGTTGTTCCTGTGGGACAAGGTCGCTCACGAATGTAAGAATAGTAATGACCATGCTCGCAGGTGCCCGTGTGTACGAGCACACCAACAAGATCGAACATATCCGCTTCTTTTGGTTTGCTTGGGTCGCTGAGATGGTCGACATGGTATGCGCTGATGTCAATGGCCTGTGGGAACTCGAAATAATCATAGACCTTCTTACGGCTAAAGTCGGCCAGGTCGAATTCGAAGCGCTTCAAATGGAAGATGAGATTGTCGGGCACCTCCTTGAAACAGGTCCTGATTTTGTCAGCTTCTTGCTTTACCAAACACACATGCGACTCACCGCTTGACTGCGTCGACGTATTTGCCGTCGCATTTCTCGCACTTGTACTTGTTGTCGCCTTCCATGACATCGCCTCTAACGAAAGCCTGGAGACTCTCTTGGAGTGTTGCTTTACCCAAAACATCGCATTGTATCGCGAAAAAAGGCTCTGATCGTTCCGAGACATGCTCACATTCTTTGGATTTGATCTGATTCAATGTTTGCCCTCCATAGAATGAGCGAAATTGCTGCTTGTGCTCGTCCTTGATGAGCTGTCGTTCCCACTGATCGAAGAGGGAATTGTAGAATTCATCTGCATCCATCTGGACGCTAATGTCTATTGGCATGAGCTCTGAGTTCTGTACGCAAGCTGCAAAGCTACGTGGATCCGCGGCTTTGCGGAACGAATGCTGCATGTTCGTGAACAGTCTCTGGGTCTCAAGAAGAAGTTTCTGAGAGCCGCTGGCTTCCTGAAGCTCCAAACCGAGAATGAACTTGCGGAAATTGAGGTTCATGAAGAGTTGCGTGAGCAGCGAGTTTGCATAGCAAATGGCACGAGGGTTGTACAGGCCAACATAGCCTGTGCTAGAGCGTATTTCCAAGGAGCGATCGACTGCAAGCGTTGGTATTACTGGCTCATTCTCCTCAGTCTCCACGTCTGCTGCAAGTTTGATCAGGCTGTTGTACGTGCTGCTATCTTCAGCTAGTGCGAGCATGAGATCGTACATCTCATGCCTTGTGTGAGACTCTAGTATGGGAACAGTGGCTGCGCCCACCACTGCAGTAGAAGAGCTGGGTCATGTCAGTATGTCACTTGGCTCAAAGAAAAGAGAGTAAGAAGCAAGACTGAGGTAAGGTCACTGCCAACGAGCGAAATATGGAAACGACGAGCGTGACTTACCTCTTCGTAAAGATGTACTTCCTGAAGATCTTTTCCATCATGCCGCCTGCACCAAGAGGCTTCTTAAAAGACTTGAGTGACAGTATGCAGCACAGTATGAGTTTCGTAAGCCCAAAAACCACGCGGTCGATTTCGTCCCGGCCGACAAATTCCTGATGTTGGTGATCCAAGAGCAGGTCGCTCCAAGTTGTTAAGTAAAGTCGGAGTGAGGGTTCGTCCCGTTTGTACTCGTCTTTCGCGCGGAAGACTTGCTCGGCAATGCTGAATAGCTGTTGTGATTGAGCGGGAACGCACAAGGAGCCTGGAATGAGCTCGGAAATGACTGCCCAGAATTGTGAGGCAATCTCGCCTTTAGTGATCGGACACGTGGATGGAAGGTCGCCGCCGCAGACGGATGCGATCTTTTGAGCGACATGCTCTCGCACAGACTGCCTGGGGTCGCTCAAGAGCAGAACTCGGTGGAGTCGCGGAGTTTGGGGATGCTCAACGAACGCTTCCCAGATGACTCGGGAGTGGAGTGAGGCCTCTAGAATAGTGCCGTAACAATCCTGGATTACAGTAGCGTCTTCGTTTGTTTCCAGTGCCATGCATAGGATCGTCACCAGGCGGTTTCCGAGCCGTGCACCATCTGAGAAGTAGGCAGCCGAAGCGTCGGGAGAAGGACGTTCTGCTTTACATGAGCCATGAACCGTAATCTGAAAAGCGCCAACGTGAAACTTACCTCTAAGAAACTCCAACAGAGCATGCACGAGTACCGCTGCAAGTTGCAGCTCTTGGAAGTTCGAGATGCTGTCGCTGATGAGCCGAGGATTAAGAAGAGCCTCGTTCAACTGGCGTATGGCATGGCCCAGGAATTTCTCGTCCAGATTAGACTTCTAGCTCGTTAGTAAAACCGTATCAACAAATATTGTCGGACCAACACACATTACGTATCTGCTCTCCCAGTCTAGCCTCGAGAGCCAAAGCGGCGTATCTCGCTTGGTAGAACTTTCCTGGAGGGAAAAGCTCCTCTGATAGCGCCGCACCTGTCACGACGCTATCTGCAAAAGTGTGCCGCGCTGGAAAGAAGCTCAAGTAATCGAATAGCTGGCTTGGGTGAGTAAAACGCATCTTGATCTCGAACGAGTACCTACCATCTGACTGATGTTGTCATCAGAGTCCATCAAGGAGAATAATTCGTCGAAATGCTTGAGCACAGTAGACTCGAAGACCGAAGACCCTGTACCCTGTCCGGGCATTGGGCGAGTGACTTCCGCGTCTGGTGCCCTTTGTACTAATAGCTGTCCTCCAAAGTCGATGCCGCTAAGCTTCTCGATCGACATGTCAGCGATGTTGAGCCGCTGACCCTTTGCGAAAAGGTTGATTTTGGTGTATCCCGATACGTGACATAATCTTCGGTAGAGATCTGTTACTGTATGATCCGCGCCCATCATGACGACTTGCCGGTCGTTACCGCACTGGAATCGGATCGCGATCGCATCACCGTACGGTATGTCTGTTTCGTCGACTTTGGAATCTGCTCTCCGACTTCGGTTGAACTCTGGTTTATGGCGTATCTTCTCCAACAATAGTTTCTGGAATGTAATGATCTTGCGATAACGTTCTTCATTCTCAAGAACCATCCTGTCAGATGCAGTGACATCCATATTCGATAAGTCTCCATCGGAGGACTGAGCGCGTATGAGCCTGCATGCCGAATGCATCTCCTGTATGCATCTCTCCACCAGAACGACATGAGCGGCTTCCACATCTGCTAGCATAGCGCCATCGGCCTCGTTGATCTGTACGTAGCGACTGGCAAGAAGACGGGCGGCGCGATCTTCAATAGTGCCTTCTGGTGAGGATAGAACCATGGACCACAGCACGTCTGCACCAGGGATCTGTAACACATCCTTTTCTCCTTGATCAGTTCCCACAAGCTGCCGTTTCATCGGGAAATTGTAGTTGGCAACAAATTCGAACATGCCGTTCGTGTAGATCCCGGTGTTCATGTGTACCATGTGGGAAGAGACAAGTTGCCTGCAGTAGTCGTTGTCCGGGGCAAATTTGAGTGTATGGAGTAATTGCGCCCATGCCCAATCCCTGGTAGTATTCGATAGCGCACGTGTGCCGATTGTATAGTTCCATAGCTGCTCATACATCTCAACAGGTATGGCTGGCCCGGCGCAACAGATCATGAGTGCTAGAAGCTCCAATCTGCAACATAGAGCTGTTTGTTGATATAGGGATGATTCGGCATTCCTCTCATTCTCGACAAACCATGCGATCTCATCCAGAATTTTGCGTGTGACATCCTGGTTCTGTTGGAAAAAGTTCTCGTCTTCAGAAGGGAGTGGTGCGGCGAGCGCGTAAATGACTTTTGCACTTCCAGTCGCTTTCGTCGAGTGCCTGTAAATGTGATCCGCACAATCTCTGTAGATCGAATGGCGCTCTCCAACAGAGACATTAGGAGCCAGAGTTGAAAGGTAGCTAGCAGCCTCGTGATACAGGTCTAACATGTCTTTGTCCGTATCCGCCTGGCACATTGTGTCGCGGATGATGCGGGTGCAAACATTCCATGGCCTAGCAGTATCTTCTCTCGCAGCATAATCTTCCGGTAACGCCTTTTCCAGGATCTTCGGGCCCAGCTCTCGGAGGAATCGAAGAATATCTACGGTGTAGCTCCTGATAGGCAATTCGTAAAGCTTTGTACAGAAGTACAAGTGATCTGCAGGCCTCATCATGTGCATGATCGCTCTAAGCATGGCCAGTGTCGCGGTAACGACACGAGGGTCGGGGCTTTTGGCAACGGTGTTCCAGATAGCATCCGCTTGGTCATCTGTCCAACGTCTAGTTACGACGAGAAAACCAACGATGTTGCCGCTGCGCGCGATAAGTTGCGGATGTGAGTCGACACTGACGATGTAATCCACAACGTTCCCATAAAGGAGAAAGTCTGCTAGATATCGCATGACGGGGTGTTCGCATGTCGACTCGGGGTTGTTGTACTGTCTCCAAATCTCTATCAAGGAAACATCCATCATAGCTATACTCATGACGCGTAAATCCATCTTACCTCTGGTGAGGTATCGGCGCAGAAGCTTGAATCTCCACGCGTTGGCGACTAAAGCTGGAAAGTATTGAGGTTCATCGCGATACTGGTGTTGGGGTCCAGTACGATCGACCGAGGTTGGAGAAGAAGTAGTCGGCGAATCAACGCTTCTGAAGTCGAGGAACCTGTCCACCAGATCCGATTCGATCTCCTTATTCCAGAGACAGAGCTCAAATAATAGCGCGTGAAAGTACTGAATCAGGTCTCGAGCGGAGACAGCATCGGTAGTTCTGCTCAAGTCGAAGAGGTCGTCCATGTATTTCTCCAAGAATTGCAAAACTCCGCGACAGAACTCGGGGCGATCGGGGTCAGTCGCAGGACTAGGATCCTGGAATATCGAGAGGCCCAATGAAGTCAAAACTGGAGCGGCAACCAACGCAATTTGAGTTTGCATGTTCAAGGGCACACAGTGGAAGGCCTCGCCGGATAGCCGCAAGATATTTTGGGCACCGTTGGCAGCTAGGAAGTCCTTTTGCAACAATCCGATCATTTTGCGAACATCGACAGAATATTCTTTGCTCACCAGAGCGAATGCAGGTGCCTTGTCCGGGCGAAGAATGGCATGCCAGTTTCGCATGTGCTTCTGACTAAGAAGAGGCAAAGAATATATCTCGCCGGGACGCGGTTGGGAGAGTAGCCAGACGTCAGCGAGGAGGAGGAAAGAGCATGCCCTGATGTAGGCACTGAGGAAAACGTAGAACATGTCGCCCGCACGGCGGTCATCCGAGTGGTGGCTAAAAGCAACCCTGCGTAAGAGCAAATTATGCACCAGTCCAGCGATATCATCCCAAAACATGGCCTTACTTGTATAGAAGCCGTAAAGGTCTACTTGGGGGCCGGGTTCGGGTAAATCGGTCAGCCATTGTGAAATGCTAGGAAAGAAGTGGGGATCGATGTCGTTGTCAACTGAATCATTTTAGTATCGCAGGCGTTTAGTGGATGTGAGACACGACCTACCTCCTTGAACGTGATTGGCCAAGTCGCGAACAACCGTGGAGTAACTCCCATGGTGTGTGTAGGGGAATCGGCGAAAATAATCTTCTGCGTCCATCTGTACGGAAAAGGCGTCTGCTTCATCGTCGTCGTCTATTATCAGGATGGGCGGACTCCCGCGCTCATCCTCGGAACTAGTAATGAGTATTGGAGACTGGCCCGGGGTAGGGGAGGGAGCCTCGAGGAAGTTATCAGGATTGCTATGGTCCTCATCTCCACCATGTACCGGAGAAGAGGGCGGGTGTGAGCGTATGGTCATTTCTACCTGCTTTTCCGAGGGCGACATGGCGGTGTTGACGGGGGTTTGTGGGTCGGTAGGCATAGCGCATAGACTGTTGCTCCCGCTGTGTAGGCGGGGGCGTTTGCGGGTGAAGCTTGCGTCGGCGTCTTCAATGGGGTCGCGGCGCGGCGGCGAGGCAGAAGCAGTGGTTGGCGGCTCGTCTGCAGCGACAGGCTGCACTGAGTCGTTGTCCGGCGCGGTCATGACGGTAGAGGGCAGGCGGTGCTGTTTGCGAAAGGACTAGGTGTGGCCGGCGACTGTCAACACGCGTGCAGGCAGGTGAGGCCAGGCAGAGGGCAAGCAGTTCCCCAGTACAGGCAACAGCAGCAACGCCCAGCCTTAGTGACCGATAGCCCCGCACGGCGGCAGGGAAAACGCGGAGGAATTGGATCTCATTAGCGTCAGCGACTGCAAGGAAGTGAATTGAGGGTATGCGCTCAGAAGGAAACGGATTCTAGTCGGTAGGCAGAGCTTCAGATATTCGGACGCGTAGCTGAGAAACCCCACTATCGTCATCCTGGTTCGTTCCCGCTGTGGAGCTAGCGTGCCGCTAGTGAGGGTACTCTAAGCCTTATCGGTCCAAGAGCGAGAAATCCTCCTTCTAATGCAAGGCACACCGGTCTACTCCACCTTACAAGTCTCACTTATCTAGACTGAGGACTGACAAGGCTTCGGGCGCACTTCGGTCGGCTTGAAAACTACTTTTGCTGTTTCGACATTGACGACGTGGCCATCACAACGCTCAGTAGTAGGAGGAGGAAGGGGTCCAGAAAGCACACAATTCGGCATGGCACCTGCGACGAAACAAACCGCGAAGCCCAATGCAAAACCTGTGTTCAAGACATCGTCGCCATTTTCTGAGACGCAGTGGTAGGTGGTACTATGCTTCAACCTACGAGCTATGCTAATTGGTGCAGGCCTGAGATAACACGCGAGGACGAAGAAGTCATATTAGAATTGCTATCCAAGTAGGTACACCGAGAGGAGCTTCATGAATCCACACTCGCCGATTTCTGACAGCTGCATCACAAGACTTCCCGATTCGGTCATTAACAATTCCATAGTCTTATCACACCTTTAGGCGACCATCGCAGAACCCATATCCACCCATCCAAAGGCAAGAAGCGCAAACGTAACACCAAGACAAACGAAGATGGCCCTGATATGCTCGGGAACACGCCCTCATCACCGGAAATTGGTAATCACTTGGTTGTTGGCATCAACCATGTCACTCGGCATCTAGAGGCCTTGGCTGCAAAGAACGCTCCGACTACAGTACCTGTTGCGTATCCCAAGTCTACTCCAGAGGGCACCAATGAAAATACCGCGACAGCAGACCATTCCAAAAACTCTCTCAGACCCTTAAGCATGGTCATACTAACACACCCCAAGCCCTCATTATCACCCGCACACGCCCACTTCCCAACGCTAGTCCACTTGTCGGCTCTCTCTCCATCATCTGCTTCGACCATATCCGAGGCAGCTACGAGGTTCATTCCGTTGCAGACAACAGCAGATACCCGGCTCGCGTCTAGTCTACACGTTCCCCGTGTGGGTGCCATGGGAATCTACGCAGGTGCGCCGGGAGCGAAAACACTGGAGCTATACGTCCGCGAGCATATTGGGCTGACAGAGTGCAAATGGGTCGACGAGGCTATGAGCGCAGAGTGGAAGGGTTTGCATGTCAAAAGCGAGATACCTAGCTCAAAGTAGGCGATAATCTGAGGTCAAAACTAATATTGGGTTCTTTGGTATAAGTATAGTTCGACGGTCGTAACGCATCAACAAAACGCCTGCAATGCACATCCTTCAAGTTCAATAGCTACTCCTGGTAGACCAGTGTTTGTTCGAAGAAAGAAAAGGACTGCGCTCATCCCAGGAAGTTCTGGACAGCACCACCGACGTTCTGAAGATCTAGTAAGAAAGTGTCATGGCCAAATAAGCTCTTCTCCTCTCCAAGCTCGATGTGCGTGACGTTCTTGTTGCCGGTGCGCTTGAGTGTCGTTGCAATTTCCTTCTGCTGCCAAGCAGGGAATAGAATATCACTGGCGACACCCAGAACAAGAGTTGGAGTATTCGCGAGCGGCCTCAGACCTGCCACGAGGTCGGCCGGTGGTTCGTTTCCGTCAGTCTGAGCTACAGCATCGATGTCGGCGGGCTGCTCCTTCTCCTCATATGGCTGATCAGGCAAAGTCAGGCTGCAGACGTCGTTGCTAGTGTCGGATGTGATATCGTGGCCGTCTAAGTATGCCTGCATTTTACCACTGTTCGCCTTTCGCACCTCGTTGATGCGATTACGATGCTCCTGTCCCAGATCGAACAGGTCCATAGCCTTTGAAACGTAGAGCAAGCTGTTTGGATCGTACTCTAGACACCATTTTTCTCCCGCATGATCCAGGTATGTTTCAATGAGGAAGTCGGGGCAGAGAGCAGGTGGCCGCGAAGGATCGGCACGCCGGCGGCCAAATCGCTGCTCCCATTCTGGGCCACTTCGATACGTGACTGTAGCGATCTCCCGAGCGAGCTTCATACCGCCGTGAGGAGGAACGCCGTCATAGTAAAAACCGCGAGCCCAGTTGGGGTCCATCATAAGTACTAGTTGCACGTCAACAATTGCGCATGGCTGATCTACAGTGTTAGCACTGACCTTGCCGCTGGGTGTGTCTCATGGCGATACTGTATGGGTGGCTGCGCGCACATCCGCTGATGCTAACGAGACGGCCCACACGTTCCGGGAACAGCGTTCCAGCTGCCAGACTCTGCATGCCCCCCATGCTCGATCCTACACTCGCGTACAGCTTCTGTATGCCCAGATTATCCAGTAGTCGGAATTGCGCGCGTACCATATCCTCCATTGTAAGAATCGGGAACCGAGTCGCGTAACGCTCGCCGTTCGCGGGGTCTATCGAAGAAGGTCCAGTCGAGCCGTAACAGCCTCCAATGACATTTGTGCAGATGACGAAGTACTTGTTGGTGTCTAGAGGCTTCCCAGGTCCAATGAACTTCTCCCACCACCCGGGCTTCGTATTTGTCTCTGTGCTATGGGCATGACTAGATGCAGATAATCCAGTGTGCAGCAAGATGGCATTGCTCCTGTTTGAGTCAAGCCGCCCCCACGTCTCATATGCGATGTTGAACTCTGGCAGTATGCCGCCCCAGTCGAGCAGGATAGGCTGGGTCGAATGGAAGTTCAGCGTGTGTCCGGAGGTATATGAGGGCTCGGGCCCTGAAGATGATCGTTTTCTTGAGAGAGACGCAGAGCGAGATTCGTGCGCGTCGAGGCATGGGAAGGATAGAGCGGGGTTTGAAGATTCGACTTCTTGGGCGGCAGCGGCATGTTGGGCTTTACGTGGTGTCTGCTGGTGAAGCTTCCTAGTAGCTTGGTTCGACTGCTGCCTCGCGAAAAGCAGCGAAGTCTGAGATGGTCTATTGGCGAAACATCGAGTAGTGGTTGCGGTTCGTGATGCTCGCGCGCCGGCGAACAAACTACGGGGAACACTCATGGCTGCAGCGGTTGCTTAGAGCACGCGCGGATCGAGGACACAGGTATGCGAGGGTGGAGACAGTACAGAGACACCATGATGACGCTATATTCACGATTACAAACGGGCTGGACCGTTGACGGACCCGTCGCGCGGAAACTGATGGGAATGCGACGACGTCGGATCCAATGACGTCGCGGGGAAATTGCGTGCTTCCCTCGCACGATTCCCGTCCTGCCAGCCTACTTTAGGTAAGCACCCGCCTCTGTGAAGACCTCGGGAACATCACGCCAAAAGACACCGTGCGCAACATGACCGAATGCAGAAATATCGAACGGGGAAGCACATGTCGGTCCCCAGCGGAGATGTTCGGCGGCGTAGCTTCTTGCGCATCACGCATTGAGACCACTCCTCGAACGAAGCAAACGACGATTCAGCAGGGCGCAAGGTGCAGCTTGAGCTCCTGCACCCATTCGCACTTTGCTAGGACCTACCTACATTTGAGGCGTTCATCAATGTCTGCAGTGCTTTTGCCGCACTGAACTTGAGGAACACAAGAAATGTGCTAGCATGCAGTCTAGGATCTGAGATTCGAGAGCACATGTATGTAGGCTCGCGATCAAGCCGTACCAAACCAAGTATTGTCTTGGATCGCCTACATCATCAGGAACGAGATAACCCGAGCCGTATGCATTGTAGTTTGGTTGATTCGAAGAGTACCAAGGTAGAATGTGCGGGCCTTGGAAACATCATGTCGAACTTAGGGCGATCGATCGAGCTCTTACGACAAGAACCGTGCACGTTTTCTAATGGGAAAAGGAGGTGCAGGGCGTGACCATCATGACATGTTAGTTATTGAGTTGCAACAAGGGTCGCTTGTGATCGCAAGATACCGTGGACGGCTCGTGACTTTAAGCGCCGTGCAAATGGGTGCTCAGGTGGTGTTGTACTGTGCCCAACCTTGGAAGGCGTACACGGTTCATCTCTGCGTGACAGGTGATGGCAGCTGAAGTACATGGAAGGAAAACTGGACCGCTCGGTACTACGCAGCACTCGAGGGTCCGGGTCTCAGCCATTGGTTTTGCGCCTGTTGGTGTCGAAGGAACCACGGCGGTTTGGCGTTCGCAAAGATAATACAATGGCATGAAACATGATGGCCTGCGCCGGACCCCCTGGGACGTTTGACGACGGGCGTCTAATTATGGACTGCACGCAAGACGCAGCACAGGAGATTTACCATGCAGACTAGGCTCAGTCGTCTCAAGTGCATATGCAGGGATGGTGATGTGAAGCTTGGAAATGGACGTCTGAGGTTGCCAGGGCTGAGAGATGTCTTGGCTGGCCGCCGGCGTCACTCAGTCGCGCCTGCCCACTCGAAACCTCCGCAGACCTCCTTCCCTTCGTTCCTGCGTGATTGCCGCCATAGTTGCGCCCCGTTGGACGACATAGATACCCGCCCGTCGCCCCTGTCATTCTGCCATTCGCTGCTGCACAGAGAGCGCCGTGCCGTGTAGAGAACGCCATACCGCTTCCGAAGTCTACAAGACCGCCGTCATGGACTCGTCCGACTACTTCACACCCCTCCGGGAAGACCGAGATGCCCCAGGGCCGCCGACTGAAGACTCTGATACCGACATGGCCGCCTCTGCCACCGCCACAGCCTCGTCCTCGCGCTCCACCATGTACACATCACCACACCCGCGCAAGCCCGGCCGCATGTCTCGATCGGGAGCACCACGGCCCATACTCACACCCAATAGCCCCCTGAGCTCGACGATACCGCACAATCTCCTCCCCTCTGCGCCGGCCTCACCGCCTACGCCTGCGCCGAGCCCGACACCGACCCAGCGGGTGCCCGACTGGAGCACCGCCGCCGAACATGAAGATGGAGACATTAAGAGCATACGGGCCCAGTTTGGCGACATGAACAGAGCCGAGCGGATGCGCCTGCTGGGCGAGCTCCTCAATTTGTGCGACAGTCAGGAGCTGAGTTTTGTTGCCGAGTTCGTCAGTCCCAGGTTAAAGAAGGACCCTTTCATGGTGCTCCCTACTGAACTCTGCTTAAGAGTGCGTTCTGTATACATTCCCCGTATAGTCTCGATCGCTGACACATCGCACAGATTCTGGAATGTGTAGACGACCCCACTACCCTCGCTCGAGCGTCGCAGGTATCCAAGAAGTGGCGCGAACTCGTCAATGATGACAGTGCCTGGCGGTTACTGTGCCAGAAGTACTCCTTCAGGGCTCTGTCGAGAGAAGAAAGAATCGAGGAAGACGATACAACCGACGAGATGGAGGACACCGACTCAAAGTCATGGTGGCAGAACGACGAGCGCGCACCGAGGATAGAGGACGTCGCTGCGAGAGAACACCTTGAGGTCGGCTCGTCCAACGGCGGTGCTGATGGTCTGCGCACGCAGAGCCTCGACCGAGCCGTGAAGAGGAAACCGTCACAACGAAAACAACAGGCGACCACATACCGGTCGCATTTCAAGCAGAGGTACATGGTTGAGACGGCGTGGCGGAATGGCGGAGTATGTGATGCGCGGCAGATTACTCCGGATCAGGGCGTAGTAACCAGTCTACACCTAACCAACAAGTACATTGTGGTTGCACTTGACAACGCGAAGATCCACGTCTTCGATACTGTCGGCGACCATCAGAAGACGCTCCAGGGACACGTCATGGGCGTATGGGCCATGGTGCCCTGGGGCGACCTTCTAGTCAGCGGTGGATGCGATCGCGATGTGCGCGTTTGGAATCTTGCAACTGGGTAAGTTGTTCTGTCGTCTTCGCCATGATAGCAACTAACAGAGGTCGTCAGCTTTCCACAATTCACTCTGCGCGGTCACACTTCAACTGTTCGATGTTTGAAGATGTCGGATGCGAACACGGCTATATCCGGCTCAAGGGATACCACACTGCGCATCTGGGATCTCAAGAAGGGCTTATGCAAGCATGTACTCATTGGTCACCAGGCTAGCGTCCGATGCCTCGAGATACACGGTGACATCGTTGTGTCTGGCAGCTATGACACCACAGCCAAGATCTGGAGCATATCCGAGGGCAAGTGCCTGCGCACACTCACTGGCCACTTTAGTCAGATATATGCGATCGCCTTTGACGGGAAGAAAATTGCAACAGGCAGTCTGGACACCAGTGTCCGGATATGGGATCCCAATGATGGGTAAGTCCGATCGCGTGCCACAACATTATCGAAATTAACTCTCTCGTGTAGCAAATGCCTCGCTGTACTACAGGGCCACACCTCCCTCGTCGGGCAGCTTCAGATGCGTGACGATATCCTTGTAACCGGTGGATCAGACGGCTCGGTCCGCGTGTGGAGTCTCGCAACGTACCAGGCTATTCATCGACTAGCTGCCCACGACAACAGCGTTACGAGTCTACAATTCGACAATACTAGGATAGTCAGCGGTGGCAGCGATGGTCGCGTCAAGGTTTGGGATCTAAAGACCGGTGTCCCCGTCCGAGAGCTAAGCAGCCCTGCCGAGGCCGTTTGGAGGGTGGTGTTTGAGGAAGAGAAGGCCGTCATAATGGCCAGCCGGGGTGGTCGGACCATCATGGAGGTAAGCTTGAAGCGCGCAATTACTGTTACCACGACATACTAATCCAACCAGGTATGGGACTTCTCACCCCCCGCTGAAGACGACTTCGACTCCCGATCCTCTACCCCAGCGAGCATGCCCGATCATCTCGCCGAATACAACCGGCCGCGGTCCGCCATACTTCCTGCAACATCACCGCTCGTGCAGGATACGGGCGCTGGTGACGTTACCATGGGCGACGCAAGCGATTCATAATACAACGATAGAATTGCATTGCACTAGCAGCGCAGCAAAGGTCGTTAGCCGCTGTCATTCCCTCGCCGCCAGAGATCGCGGCCAGGGCCTCGACAATAGCTGGAGGCTTCCGCACAGGGAGGTCCGGTAGAAACCGATATGGACAGCACTAGTCGAGTTACAAGGCCTACATCCGAGCATCCACCACCAGCGTGAAGCGGTATCTCCGGACTCACGATGAGCCCATCCGCGATTACAAACGTGATAACGAACCAACCGATTTGTTGTTCGATTATAGCTCCATGGCCGGTTACGCACACAAGAGACCAATTGGTTGGCATCCCGTAATGTGGAAGTGAAATGAGCAAAGGATCGATGAACAGCTTGCATATGGGGCGTCTTGTTGCATCCATAGCCCATATCTGGTATACAACAGGAAGAGCTTGGATTTGTTTGGACTTTTATTTCTTCGAAAATGTATGCATGATATAGGAGCGTGGGCTTTTCAATGACTTGGGACCGGATATAGGCAGGGGAGTTCAATGTGAATAGAATGTCAATACTCTTCAAACATATCCAATGTATTCGAAAGGTTGTGTATGTATTCAGCTTCAGTGACTAGATGGAAAAGCAACTCCTCTTCGATGCCGTGCTAACCAGACAACCCTGTACTATGAGCATCGCGTAAACAGTGGTGCTTGAATTCAACTTGTAACATCTCCCTTGATTATTTAATCAAAGACCGACTATCTACATACGTGCGATACTCAAGACTGCTCAAAGTGCTTACTATTGAACTGATCAACAATTTCTCTTGCAGCTTTGACAATCTCTACAGCCCCAGGCGAATCCGAGTGGCAGCACAGCGAGACCTGGTGATTCCTTATAGGGAGTTGCAGCTCCTCGCCGGTAACAGCGGTGACAGTTGCGGTTTCTACCAGACTCTGGACGTGTTTCCTAGTCTCTTCTGGATGCCAAGGTCTGTGTATGGTAAGCATTGCACTCAACGAAAGCATACGCGTGCAGCATACCTCTTCTTCCGGTCGATTACCAAGGTCCTGTCCTTGTTGTACTTGACGTCTCCATAAAGCTCTGCTACGAACGGCAATCCAAGCTCTTTCGCAACCTCTTCATGCAGTGTTCCCGCAAGACCAAATACTGTCGTTCCTTTGGGCACACCGGCATAAACTGCACGGCACACTTCCCTATCTCGATACATCATCCCGTACAATACGCCATGGGGCTTGACATGATGCAAGGGCACATCTTCCGCATCCAAAAACGCTTTCAATGCGCCGACTTGGTAGCGAACAGCGGCTGTCAATTCTTCCGGCGACATTTTGATCTCACGCCGGCCGAAGCCTTGAATGTCGGGGAGCCCAGGGTGTGCGCCGATGGCAATGTTGTGCTTTTTGCAAGCCAATACTGTCTGGTGCATAATCAATGGGTCCCTGGTTACGCATTGTCAGTAGAATGAACTTGAAGAGAAGGATGCGAGGTTTTGACGTACCCAGCGTGGAAACCACAAGCTATGTTGGCATGGTCAATGAGTGGAATCAACTCATCGTCTGGTCCACATTTGAAGTTTCCATATCCCTCACCCAGATCCACGTTGATCTTTACAGGATGCTTGATAGCTGGCATTGTAGAACCTCGTACGAAGAAACTTGTTGGTTGATGAGAATGAAGCACTACAGTTGGAGTACGAAGTGTCTTGCGTTGGTTCTTGGGTATGCCATCAGATGCGCGTATAGTGGTAGCGGATACAGTTGGAGTAGTTGGAGTAATCCGCTCGGACCGGAGGTCACGCTTTCATACCATTGTACTCGGCGTTATCCCGCAGTGGTTGAACTTTCCCCACAGCTGTTAAACCCGCTGCACGCGTAGCGTCATGTCCCAATGCTTGTTATCGACCCCGCCTCTCGAATGTCGGCGGTGACGTCTGCATCACCGGTGACAGCCCGAAAGAAAGCCCACGCGTTTGTCAAAGCACCAATGACAATGCCTTCGCTCTAACGGGTGGAGGTAAGATATCGGCGCGAAAGGGAAATGGCGGAAAGGTGGGGTCATGCAACCTGCCTCCAACTATGGGACTCATAGAGAGAGCCGGCTCGTGGTCGATTAGAATGAAGTGATCTAGTTTGCGAACTTTTTGCTCCAATGTCTGAAATGCAAAAACTACGAGTTCTGTTGATTGCGAACCGTGGAGAGATCGCGGTATGTGGCGCTGGTGCCGCGGAACTGTCCCGTTATCGAGAACAGCCTCCGACTGACATTGTGGGTATAGGTGCGCATCATCAGAACGGCCAAAAGACTCGGTGTCAAAACCATCGCCATTTATTCGGAAGCCGATGCCGCGTCGCAACATGTCCGAGATGCCGATGAAGCAGTTTTGCTACCAGGAAGCAATGCGACCGCATATACTGACGAAGCAGCCGTACTGCGCATAGCTAAGGAAAGGGGCGCGCAAGCAATCATACCTGGATATGGGTTTCTGTCAGAGAACGCGCATTTCGCGCGTCTTGTCGGTGATGCAGGTCTCATCTGGGTCGGGCCATCATCGGATGCCATTGATGCCTTTGGTGTCAAGCACACAGCCCGAGATCTGGCGGAAAAGGCTCATGTTCCAATCGTACCTGGAACGAAAGGCTTAGTTGAGAACGAACAGGTGGCTGCGAAGGAAGCCAAGCGCATTGGGTTTCCTGTTATGTTGAAAGCGACTGGGGGCGGTGGTGGTACGTAATATTCTTTCATGAACAACATGTGAGATACATAACAACGTCTAACGTCGACATTTAGGAATGGGACTCATCACTTGCAACAATGCTGAAGAGGTTCGCGATGGCTTTCGAATGGTGCAATCTAGAGGGGAAACGCTGTTCAAGAACCCCGGAGTTTTCATCGAGGCCTTCTATCCTGCCTCTCACCACATTGAAGTCCAGGTGTTCGGTAATGGCCAGGGTCAAGCCATCCACTTCGGCGAACGCGAATGTTCCATCCAAAGACGACATCAGAAGGTCATTGAAGAGTGTCCAAGTCCGTTTGTAGAACGGCATCTCGAGCTGCGAAAGAAGCTGGGTGAGGCTGCAGTGCGCCTCGCCGAGTCGATCAAATATGGTTCTGCTGGCACCATCGAATATCTTGTCGATGATAAGTCGGGCGACTTCTTCTTTCTGGAGATGAACACGCGACTTCAGGTTGAGCATGGCATCACAGAGCTCTGCTACGATGTAGACCTGGTAGAACTCATGCTGAAGCAAGCAGATGCACAATTGGCAGGCAATTACGGGCTCGATGGCAAGACGTTGAAAGATATGCAACCATCAGGGCCGAGAGGATCGGCTATCGAAGCTCGTGTCTACGCTGAGAATCCGCTAAGAGACTACGCGCCTTCGCCCGGACTGCTCCAGAAAGTCATCTGGAAAGATGTACCTGGCAGTCGAGTCGACACGTGGGTTTTCACTGGAGTTCGTATTACTCCTAATTATGGTACGACGCCCTTTCCTACTCTCTATACGGGACATGCGAATCCTGTGTTGATATCAGAACTCTGATGGTGTGATTCGGTTCCTTACTAACGATGACCAGATCCTTTGATAGCGAAAGCAATGGTCCATTCCCCATCCAGAGATGAGGCAATCGCGTCAATGAGTGAGCTGCTTACCCAATCTACCATTTGCGGCCCCCCTACCAATCTCGAATTCCTCGCCAACATACTGGACGATTCGCGCTTCAGGAACGGCAACACCATGACCAGCTTCCTCACAGACTTCAAGTACTCGCCTCAAGCTATCGACGTGATTTCGGCTGGAGCATACACTCTAATTCAAGACCTCCCCGGGCGGCCAAAGGTTGGTAAAGGTGTACCTCATTCTGGGCCTATGGACCCGATCGCATTCCAGATCGCGAACATGCTCGTAGGAAACCCGCGATCAAAGGAAGCGCTAGAACTCACGCTGAGTGGACCGGAACTGAGGTTTGTTGGCCCTGCTATTGTCGCGTTGTGTGGAGCTCCTATGGAAGCATTCTTGGACGAAGAGACATTTCCTATGTGGACAAGCGTAAGGATCGAAGCTGGTCAAAAGCTCAAGGTTGGCAAGACGACAGGTGGGGGTTGTCGCTCATATCTCGCAGTCTTTGGAGGATTCCCGTCTGTTGCAGAATACTTCGGCTCAAAGTCGACATCGCCGCTCGTAGCGATTGGAGGCTACCAGGGTCGTGCGCTGGCACCAAGCGATCTATTACAGACAGTGGCAAAGCTTCCAGACGCTTTCAATAGCGTTGCGCTCCCGGAAAATCTGCGCCCCATCTACAAGTCAAGCTGGGAAATAACAGCAATGGTTGGACCTCACGACGAGGGCTACTTCGACCCGAAGTTCATCGAGGAGATATACAAGACTGAGTGGAAGGTATCTCACAACGCATCGCGGAGCGGAATTCGTCTGGTAGGACCAGTTCCGAAATGGGCCCGTAAAGATGGCGGCGAAGGAGGCGCGCACCCAAGCAATCTGATAGAGTACGGCTATCCACTGGGCACCTTGAACTGGACTGGAGATGATCCGTGTATCTTTCCCGTGGACTGCCCAAACTTTGGTGGATTTACTAGCTCGACGACAGTCGTTAAAGCCGACTGGTGGAAGCTGGGCCAGCTCAAAGCGGGGAATACTGTGAAGTATGTCAGGGCTGGTCTCGATGATGCACTAAAAAAGAGAAAGAGAAACGACGACTTCTTGGACTCAGTTGAGCAAGCCATCAACGGCGAACGCGACTTCGAAGGCATCGAAAAAATGCAAGGCGCACACTGCAACTTCCATGAGGGAGATATCGGAAAGGCTGTCGTTTGGGAGAAAGAGAAGAGCGATAGCACCCCACAGGTCAGATATCGTCAAGGAGGTGATGACCATATCCTGATCGAATACGGGAATGAGAATTTCGATCTCAATCACCGCTGCCGCGTCACTGCTTTGGAGAACGCACTGCACTCAGACTCAACCCCCGACCTCATCAAGTCTAATCTGTATAATACCGTGGGGTGCTGCACATCGCTTCTCCTCTACTACAACGGCTCCAAGCTCCCTCGATCAGAGCTCATTGCGCACCTTCAGTCCATCGAATCACAGCTCGGCGACTTGAGAAGCACCAAAGTCCCTACCCGCGTTTTCAAGCTTCCTATCTCGTTCGAATCGAAACTCCAAGACGAAGCAACTCAACGCTACATGACTAATCAGCGGCCCCACGCACCGTACCTACCCGATAATCTTGCATTTGTTGCAAAGAATAACGCTTTCACGCCACAGCAACTGAAGGACATATACCTCACAGGCCAATTCATGGCAGTAGTCGTAGGCTTCTTCTGCGGTAACACTGTCTCGCTGCTTGTAGACCCACGCCAGCGCCTCTCCGCCCCAAAGATGAACCCAAGTCGCGTTTTCACACCTGAAGGCACAGTTGGGTGGGCCGGCTCGTGCATGTCGATATACCCCGTTGATTCACCTGGTGGGTACCAGATGACCGGCCGAACGGTACCATGCTGGGATTACTATTCCTATAAACCCGGTTTTGACACAAAGCCTTGGATTTTCCGTGACTTCGACATCTTGACTTTCTACCAGGTCAGTGAGAAGGAGCTCGATGATCTACTAGGCGAATTCCGTGCAGGAAAGTACCAGTGGGAGTACGAGGACGTGGAGTTTGATATGGCGCAGCACAACCAGCTTCTAGAGAAGACGAGTGATGAAGTCAGGAAGATTAGGGAGAAGCAAGCGGTTGCCCAGGAAGAGATGACGAAAGCCGAGAACGAGAGTCTGGAACGCTGGAGGAAGGAGAAGGCTGAGAGTCAGGTTGACGAAGGGACCGTGGAGAAGCTGTTGGATGATCCGGATATCGTTGGGGTTGAGGCGCCGGTCGACGCGAATGTATGGAAGGTGGAAGTCAGCGAAGGAGATAAGATTGGAGATGAGAGTGTGGTAAGTAGATTCGCGTGGTTGTTCATCTGGCATTGCTAACATGATATAGATCGTCATTCTTGAAGCGATGAAGCTGGAGATTGCTGTCAAGACGCCAGACGCGCTTGCGAAATCGGGCGAGTTAAAGGTTGAGAAAATGCTGGTGAAACCCGGAGATACTGTGACAGCTGGAGGACATTTGGCATTGCTACGCAAGAGCTAACTGGTGACTGCAATCTGTTTATTGTAATTCATGCGTGTGTAAGCTAGGTCATGCATCAGGATGACATGCGTGTGAACAATACGTGACCATCTTTCCATGTCACACAATATCAAGTTCATGTCGTCTTCAATGGACTAGAATTCCAGTTCCTTCAAGTTGAGACTAGTACCGCAGCTTGTCTCTTTAGTCGGTTTCATATCTGCTCGACCCCAGTCGTAGATGCCGCCACGCTCTACGAACGACTTGTTGTCCCACACGATTTGCTGCATAGCCTTCTCAACACCAACATCCAAGATAGACGCTCTCAGTGACTATCCAAGATAAACTCAACAATCAGGGGTTCCTAACTTCAGAAGAGTTGAATCCTTTCATTGCGCGCGCAATCAAAGATGCGTTATCCCAGCAACCACATAAGGCCGGCATTTTGGTGGACGGATTCCCAGGAAGCATTGAACAGCTAGAATCATGGAACGTGTGGCCATTTTCTGAAGATCTGCCAATCGCAAGCGGGATTGACACCGATGCAAAACCAGACATCGTATTATCGTTACGCGTCAGCAAAAAAAATGCCAAAGCCAGATATTCGGCTCGAGCCCGGGATAGCAACGATAGCAAGGAGAGATTTGAGCGACGCTACTCCGAAGACGAGCAAGAAACTTTGCATGTGGAAGAGATTTATCGTGAACGCGGCACTTTGATCGATGTGGGTATGTAACACGTTACGAAATACCGAACACTAAATTACATCCAGATCGACGTGAATGGTT